GGCCGGCCCGCGAAGCCCGCGGGCTTGGAACTATACAACCCAAGCCCGCCCCATACGGGCTTGCTGGTCTCGCGGGCCATCACTTAAATTTAAAAAAAAAACATTAAATAGTATATAAACATGTTAAAACCGCTTGAAATATGGCACCGGAAACTTTCATAAAATCCATAAACCTCGCCCAAATTTCCCGGATCAATACCGCGCGTTCAGCAGAACTGTAGAAGGGTGATCAAAGCTAGGGTTCAACAACACACTCGATTTCTCTCTCGGCTTCAGATTTTCCCTCTATAATTCCCGTCTGTGTATAATACATATATAAATATGTATTCTCCGCGGACCATGCCCGTTAGGCCCGCATTTTCGCGAGCCTAATTTCTTGCGGCCCTAAACCGCCCCATTACGGGGCGGGTCCGGGCTAACCCGCGGACTTCGGCCCACTTTGACACCCCTAACTCCACATCTATACAGATTATTTCATCTAAGTCGGCGGTAAAAAGATCCACTCGCTGGTTGGGTTGTACTATCCTTGCCCTCAACAACATCGTGCGAAAGTCTTTGACATACTCGTCTACATGCCGTCTTGCTTGAAACAACAGTTTAAGTTCACCTAAGACATTAATGCTACGTGGTGGCCCGAAGCTAAGACAACACTCTGTTTTGAAGGTTGCCCATGAGGAAAACTGCCTCAACTCTATTTCAGAATGGTAACATAATTGGGCTTCGCCGATTATGTGGTGTGAGGCAAAATTTATTCGATCTAAATCCCTGACGTTGGCATTTAGGTAGTATGATTCACAACGGAATAGCCATACAATGGGGTCTTCGTCTACGGAGAACAATGGAAAATCCATTTTAACATATTTAATGAGGGAATGGTGATCATCTGGTGTTTCCTGGATGGCACAATACCCTTCAAGTTGGTGCACCGTTTCTGATTCAGCTTCAGAGACTGGCGTTTTGCCCTAAGTAATCAAAAGTTGTTTCATCATTCTCTCCAAATTAACCAGGGTAGTTGCCTGCTACTGTTGTGTTGCAGACAGGGAAGACACTGTAGAAGAGAGGTTCTCAATCTTGTGAATATGAGCCTCCATGGAACGAACATATTTCTGCAGCGCTTTAAAAGCAAGATCATCTGTGATGGAACTGCCCATAACGCCGGTAACATGAACCAAATTGATATGATCACGAGTGATACTCCTCGTTATGGGCCTATGAGAGACAAAGTTTAAATGATTGGTTCAGTTCTTTCCAATTGTGAATACGGAAAAATAGAACGAGAGAAGAGAGAGTTGGAGGAAGAGACTTCCTTTTGATTTTTATTCAAATTCCAACTTACCTAGACAAACTAATATTCTCCATATATATAGGAGTTACAACTAAAGATATAAGGAAATAATATTCTAAAATCTGTTGAACTAAATATAAAAGCAATCTTTAATAAAAGGAAACAACATAACTAAAGTAGTAAAGGAAACAATATAACTAAATTGATTATTAAGCATGGTAAACAAGTTGGGTAGCAGGATCTGTATTGTATCATGTGGGTGGTATGTGAGTTCTGCGTCATTTGCAGTAGTATTGTCGGCCAACAAATGCATCATAACATGTGTATGTGTCTTGTGTTGTAAATTTTTGTGTCTAGCGTTATGAAATTCTTTACCTTAAGAATATTGATTTTATACCTAGAATAAATTAAAATTTGTGTTGAAACATGATAAACGAAAAACTACAAAATCTGTTGAAGTTTAAATATCAAAACGATGTCGTTTTGATCCAGAGTTCACAGTACTATGTAGACCTGGTCTACGATATAAATTGCCCAACAAGGCCGGCCAAGCCAGTAAAATAAAGGTTAGAGCTTTATCTTTGAAACCAAACATCATATCATAGTAGAGGCCGGTGCAAATAGTGGCCATACCTATGCCGTGGATCAATCTCATAATAATAATAATAATAAGGGAAAATAGCACCTTTTTTCCTGAATTATATACTTATAGCATTTTCCTCCCCTGAATTATTCAAGTGGCAGTTTTTCTCTCTGAAATGTTAAATGGATATATTTACCCTTAAAATAAATATTCCATTTATTTTTCTTCTCCAACAAATTATGACCACGATTTGGTTCAAACCGAACAGACACTATATCAACCAAACCGAAATATTTTGATTACAATTTAAATCAAAACCCGATATTTATAGTTTATTAAAATCGCGAACCGAAACGGCCGGTTCATGTTCCAAACTAAAAAAAATAAAATAAAAATACATTTATTGTTAAATTTAGACTATTTTAAAAATAAAAAATAAAATTTTAAAATAAAGTTTGAACCAATATTTCAAACTGGATCCGGAATTGTGAGCCGACGGTTCAAAATCAAAACCAAATCGCGGTCATATATACTTATTCCGTATTCGTGTTAAATAGGGTGTCTAGATAATATTTCAGTATGATTCTGTTTAAGTGATTGACTTAGCACTGTCGTAGATCAGTCAGTAGATCAGTGAATAGTCTTTGTGCAGAAATTAAATCAAACAGAAGTAAAAGACACAAAATATTGTTTACCCAGTTCGATACAGTGTGTATCTACGTCTGGGGGACCACCATCAGTGAGTCCAATCCACTATCTCAACAACAAATCAAACAGACGGTAAGAGAAAACCTTCTCACCCAATGTGTGCTACACACCATACGGTAATACCCAATCTTTTGAAATCTATAGAGGATTGTCGAGCTCGGAGATCCGTGCTTCAGCGTCCAAAGTCCCTTTGGAAATCCGTGCTGTCGCTGTCCGTCTCGCTGACCCACTCACCACTGCACCACAGTTGTATGGAATACGGTCCACTAACTTAAGTGCTGTAGAAATTCTTCCCAAGAGTCTTGTTAAACTCAGATCATCAATGGTGTCTTGAGAAGATGATAACTCAAAGTATTTTCTTTGTAACTTGTGGAGAGAGATTTTTTGACATTCAAATCTTGAAAGATATTTCTTGTAAAGCTTCTCTCTATTTTTTCCTCTCTCTCACCTTTTTCCCATGTAAACAACTAGTATATATAATACTTTGAGACTTGGATGACAAGTAATCTTCTAGGGTTTCCTTGTAGACCAAGATTACTTGCCATTTTTCCTTTTTGCCAATTCTGACTTCATCAAGAATGGTTTCTAAAACATCAATATGGTAACTACTCTGCTGGTCATAAAGGCTGCGAAATCCAACTGCTAATTTCCAAAACCCGACTGGCGTAGTGGCTGTTCCGCAAGATCATCACTCAGTGACTGTAACAGACACAACTTGACCTATCTAGTTTTGCCATAATAATTTGTCAATAACATGTTGGGTTTTACAAAATTTAAACACTAACCGTGAGAATCAGAATAAATGTAAAAAAAAAAAAAAAAAAAAAACATACACTATTTGTAAATATTATAATTCTAATTTTAAACTAGTGCTAATAGTTGTTCCAATTCAAACCGCAGGTTCACGGTTCAGGATCCAATTTTTTCGATTCATCATTTTAATAAACTGAAATCCAAATATTGGGTTCTGGATATGAATCATAACCTAAAACTTTCAATTTGATTGCTATAGTGTTTAGTTTAGTTCAAACCGAACCGTGGTCATCCCTACGTATAAGCAATAATTTGTTGGAGAATAAATAAATAAATAAATAAAATGTTTACTTTAAGGGTAGAAATGTCAATTTATTATATCAGGGGAGAAACCGCCACTTTTAGAATAATTGAGGGGACAAATATGCTTACCTGAATAATTCAGGTAGAAAATGTGCTATAAACATATAATTCAGAGGGAAAATTGGTCATTTTCCCTAATAATAATAATAACAATAACAATAACAATAACAATAATAAATATCTACCAGGACTATGTGGTCTAATGGTACCCGGGTTGGACTTCCATTTGGAAGATTATAAGTTCGAGCCTCAGTGGAGGTGTTATTGGTTCTTTGTGTTTCAGTAGGTTGAGAAAGTATATGAACAGATACTACAATGTAATAGAGCCAGTAACTTTCAAAAAAAAAAAAAAAAACAATAATAAATATCTAGTTAAATATATGTGATTGTAAAGTCACACTATATTATTTTTTTCGACTCTATTACAATGTAGTATGAGTCACACTATATTATTATATTGTTTTTTTTCGACTCTATTACAATGTAGTATCTGTTCATACCTACAAGCACAAATGAGTCACACTTTATCTAGTTAAATATACGTGATTGTGAAGTCATACTATATTATTATATTATTTTTTTCGACTCTATTACAATGTAGTATGAGTCACACTATATTATTATATTATTTTTTTTGACTTTATTACAATGTAGTATCTGTTCATACCTACAAGCACAAATGAGTCACACTTTATAGTTAAATATATGTGATTGTAAAGTCACACTAAATTATTATACTTGTTTTTTTCGACTCTATTACAATGTAGTATGAGTCACACTATATTATTATATTATTTTTTAAATTGTATTACAATGTAGTATCTGTTCATACCTACAAACACAAATGAGTCACACTATATTATTATATTGTTTTTTTCGAGTCTCATCACCACTGAAGCGAGAACCCACGATCTCCCATATGGAAGTGCAATCTTAGTGCCATTAGACCACACGGTCTTAGCTATTATATTTTTATTTTAATGTTTTTTCAATTTATTTACTTTTTATTTTTAAATTTATAATAACATTTTTTTTTTGCATGGCAAAAATAAAATAAAATAATAGTAATAATACCATAAATAGAATATCTACCAATCTAATCTACTGTAAATTAGTCACCTAACTATCATAAAGAGAACATCTACCATTCTACGTAAATAAGCTCTGCGTCATACAAGCAATAAGCCATGTGCATTGAACGGCCAGGATGGGAGGGACGTATGCATCTGCGGTGAAGCCGCAAGCACCGTTACGTCATCAGTTGTCGCAGATTCCCTCTCTTCTCCACATACATTTTTTTTTTTTATAATTTTTATCACCCAGTTTCAGTCATCATCCCGCCATCTCTATCTCTCTCTCTCCTTTGACTTTTATTCCTCACTCTGTCTTCTTCCCCAAATTCTCTGCATTTCCTGCAGATTTCTCTGCTTCACCTCTAATTTCTCTCAATTGCACGACCATCTTCTCTCTCTCATCTTCTTCTAGCCTCTGCTGTGGCGCCTTCGCTCTTCTCCGCTGTAATTTTTGCCGTTCTTCCTTGACCTTGGTTGTAAACCTAGATTTTGACCTTGTTGTCTGCAAGTTTATCCAACTTCATGGGCTCTGTTATTGATGTCGTCCCTGTTTTTCTGTTCTGTTTCCCTTTTACGTACAGTAATAACTGAAGTTTTTGCTGTTTTTGGATAATTGGACTGCAGTCTTTGTCATGTTTATGCTGTTTTTTTGGTTATATAGAAGAACTGTATAATGGATGTAAGAATGGGGTTTTCGGACTCGAATGATATTAGTATGAGCAGTAGTATATGCTGTGTCGCCGGCGCCAACGAGACATTTTCGCCGGAACCCTCGCCGCTGGACGTTACAGCGTTCAAGCGCCTCTCAGAAACTCTGGAATCAGTGTTTGACGCGTCTTCCTCGCCGGACTTTGATTTCTTCGCCGATGCAAAGCTGGTGGCGGCCTGTGGCAAGGAAATTCCGGTGCACCGGTGTATTCTATCCGCGAGGAGTCCGTTCTTCAGGAGCGTATTTAGTGGGAAAGATAAAAGTGTGAAATTGGTTTTGAAAGAGTTGATGAAGGAGTATGAGGTGAGCTATGATGCCGTAGTGACTGTTTTGGCTTACCTTTATTGTGGAAAAATTAGAGGTTCGCCCAAGGATGTATGCGTCTGTGTTGACATTGAGTGCTCACATGTAGCTTGTAGGCCGGCATTGGAATTCATGGTGGAGCTTTTATATGCTTCCTTTACTTTTCAGATATCAGAGTTGATCACAAAGTTTCAGGTATTGCACTGTTTTCTCAATCTGCTTCAATTATGGGGTTCAGAACAATCGCCAGTTAGTACTTTACTTACTCCCTATATCTTTATTATGCATATGCCTTTGTTGTTAATTGATCTCGAGTTAATTCCACCAGAGGTCATTCCAAATTTAGTCTCATACTATCATTTTTTTGCCATTTAATATCCTAGACTATTATTTTTTGTGCACTTTTAGTCTTTCTCATGACATTTCCTATTTTTAGTAATGACATTTTTGTCTTTTTATATTTTTCTTTTGTTATTTTTCCGGTTTCAACAGGTTGAATTGGTTTAGAACTTTAGTTAACCTCTGATTTTTAGTAACTACATTTTTCAACTGGTTTTTAGTGAAGTCCTAAACCAATTAAACCGGTTGAAACATGAAAAATAACAAGAGAAAAATATGAAGAGACAAAAATGCTCTTACTAAAAATAAGAAAATTCATGAGAAGGACTAAAAGTGTCCAAAAAATAATAGTCTGGAATATTAAATGGCAAAAACGATAGTCTGGGACTAATTTTGGAATTGCCACCAAAGACAAGAGACCTTTGGTGGAATTAATTCTTGATCTCTATATGAATATAGCATAATGCTTGCTTTGCATATCATTGTATTCTGAAATAATGTATGTTGATTCCTTATTAATTGTTCCTGTTTAACAAGGAATCAAGGTCTAGAGGCTAGTAGGCTACTTGAAGATATGAAATATATGGATGTTTTGTATCAATGTACAAGTATGAGGTCAAAACTGTGTCACCATGTTTTTCAAGAATGTATAATTTGGTAAATGTTAGAAACTGGAACATGCTAAATGAGGTTGCCATCTATCATGAAAAATAACTTGTGCTGGCAAGATTTTGTGAACTAAGGCATTAGTCTTGAAACTAACGTGTTACTAGTTCTTGATATGCTAAATAATACCACTATTTGTATGGAAACTTGACTCAACCATGCGGTTCAAACAAGTTACATGCAATGAAAGCCATTGTCCTGTGCAATTCCTTTTGAAATTCAAATGCTTGTGGATCCTAATTAGGTAAAATATTCCATATTTATTCCTTAGTAGTAGTTGCATCTTTCTTTTTATGTTGCAGAGACAGCTTCTAGATATTCTCAATAAGGCTGCAGCGGATGATGTACTGATGGTTTTGTCTGTCGCAAACATGTGTGGTAAAGGGTGTGAGGCATTACTTGCCACCTGCATTGATATTATTGTCAAATCAGATGTTGATATAATAACTCTTGAAAAGGCATTGCCTTTTCACATTGTGAAGCAAATTACTGATTCCCGCATGGAGCTTGGCTTGCAACTGCCAGAAAGCAACGGGTTTCCAGATAAACATGTGAAGAGAATACACAGAGCTTTGGAATCTGATGATGTTGAATTGGTGAGGATGCTATTAAAAGAGGGGCATACTAATTTAGATGATGCATATGCTCTCCACTATGCTGTAGCCTATTGTGATGCGAAGACTACAGTAGATCTACTTGATTTGGCAATTGCAGATGTCAACCATCGAAATTTGAGGGGATACACGGTGTTGCATGTCGCTGCAACGAGAAAAGATCCTAAAATTATAGTGTCCCTTTTGACAAAGGGAGCTAGACCTTCTGATTTGACATCGGATGGCAGGAAAGCACTTCAAATTGCAAAAAGGCTCACTCGGGCCGTGGATTATAAATCTGCAGAGGAAGGAAAAGCTCCAAAGGAACGGTTGTGTATAGAGATTCTGGAGCAAGCAGAAAGAAGAGATCCGCTACTAGGAGAAGCTTCAGTATCTCTTGCTATGGCTGGTGATGATCTGCGTATGAAGTTGTTGTACCTTGAAAATAGAGGTAAAAAATCGTTCTCAGTTTTGTCCCTTTTTCTATCAGCATCATCGTTTTATTAGATTGGTTATTTATTGTGGTTTATTCACTGCACACGATCTCTTTTTTGTCTTATAATTGGCCACCTTCTATTGATATCAACTTTAGGTGTAACAAAACAAACAATTTATGTTTCTTAAACTTTTTTCGGTCTCAATATGAGATCTGCTTCTCTAATTGGATGAGATCAATATGATTGACCTCCAGTCAGTGGATTTTTTAACCTACAACATTAATTGTCTAGGTTAGCATTGTTGCGTTTTCTCTCACCTAAAAGCCAATATGATTTTAAAAAAAGGGATTTTTGTCATTTAATTAAAAATAGGTATTTCCAGCAGATAACTCAACTGCTATTGTCATTTTGGCATGGGGATTTCAAAACTGGGTGCAATGTTAAATTGCTAATCTACACTCTTCATGTAATTGTTCGCTAAATTTACTTGTACAAGCTTCCCAGCTATGTTAAATCCTAGTGATCAGGAGATGGTTGTTACAACTTTTTCTTTAAATTAGTTTCTTTAATTTTAAATTCATCCATGAAAATTTCCCTTGTTTTTAATGCTTTGATACTTATCCTAGTTCTTTTAAGAGTCTTCTTTTATACCTCAAACATCCCGAGAATGGATATTTTAGTTTTGTTATAGAAGGCATCCAAGCTTCTTGACCTGTGTAGTTTATAGTTTAGGTTTTCATTCTTGATTTCTTCCTTTTTTGGATTACTATAGAAGTATAGCATCTCCCATTTGTAAGTTTTACCATAATGGAGGGAAATCAATTCTCTTGAAGAACTTCTGCTTGAACTGTGCATTTCTACAACACCACACCCTCACTTATTTTCTCCCTTATTCTTTAAACAAATTTAAAAAATGGCAGTGATCATCAATTCCATAAATATTGTTACTTTCATGCCAAAGTCAATGTAAATTTTAGTATTTTACTTGCATAATTTCCCTAACTATTCTTTGGGAACCCAGTATTTGCTTGTGTTTATGCTCTTTTGCTCCTATGACAAGACCATATGAGGGAGCAAGGAAATAATTCTATAGGATAGTTGCCTTTCAATTTTATCTTAAGATGTTGGGTGTTCTGTCAAACTTGATTGATCTTGACTGTTTAGTGTTGAAGAATAAAGATAGAACTAACATATTGGTGATTGACGGTTGGGTTTGTTTGTCCAGTTGGGTTGGCTAAACTTCTATTTCCAATAGAAGCTAAAGTCGCAATGGATATTGCCCAAGTTGACGGTACTTCTGAGTTCCCTCTAGCAAGCATCATCAACAAGAATATGGCTGATGCACGGAGGATGACTGTGGATTTGAATGACGTACCTTTCAAGCTCAAAGATGAGCATCTGAATCGGATGAGGGCACTTTCCAAAACAGGTACTCCTTTTCTTACTATTTTTCATGACACTCGAGATCTCATAAAGGTTAGCTGCAACCCAAATTAATATCGCTCCACATGCCTTTGTTTTGGCAGTGGAACTAGGAAAGCGCTTTTTCCCACGCTGCTCTGAAGTTCTGAATAAAATCATGGACAATGAAGACTTATCGGAGATTGCTTGCATGGGGAATGAGACACCAGAAGAGCGACAAGCGAAGAAGCAAAGGTACTTAGAACTTCAAGAAATTCTGACCAAAGCTTTCACAGAGGATAAAGAGGAATTTGACAAGGCCAACATCTCATCATCTTCTTCCTCAACATCTTTGGCGGCTGTTAATTCCAATGGTAAGCTCCCCTTTAAAAAGCCTGGTTTGTAAATAAGTAGCAGAAGAAAATCATTCTGTTGTACATCACAAATACAACCCCCATGGTGAATGTCTATGCTCAGTGTCTGTTGTACATTGCAAAGCAAGGTTTAGAAAGAAAAATAACATTAGTTGGTCAGAAGAAGTGGGTATCTCAAGTTCTCTATTAGGGAAAGTTTAAGGGCATAATCAATCATTAGAGTGTGGCACTTGCTTTTATGTTAAACAAAATCCCACCTGTAAAACTTGTAGTTCCATTTTTGACAGATAAGGACCACTAAGAAATAAAGGTAGCATTATTTTGAGCATCTTTGATTTTTGGCTCTAATCTGGGCAAATTTTATTATGGACCATGGTCTATGTAGCAACATGAATCACGAAGTATGTATTATTTGAATTACACTTCAGTTTTATTTGACAATATTGATATATTCTTTAGTTTCAATTTTCACACACACTAGTTTAATTATAGCAATTTATTAAACCAAAATTAAATTGTTAATTTGTTTAGAATTTTATATCTATTTGACTATTTATCATATTTTATTCTAACAAAGTATTCGAGCCCTAATGAGGGCGAGTAGTACTAAAAAAAAAAAAATATTCAACATTCAACAATTTACACTATAAAATATATAATTATATGTAGTTGAATAATTGTTGAATCTCAAAGAAATAAAAAAAATTTTAAATTTGGTTTTAACCATCGTAAGATTTGAGTTAAAATGTTTATATATACTAACACTATTATGAAGTTAATATATACAAACAGAAAATAAATTTAAACAAAACTCATATGATGATGAATCATCTATAGAATTGAAATGGTGTAGACAAAATTAGGAAGAAAATGGTAAAATCAGAAGTTATTAGTAAATGTACCAGAAAGAAAGAAAACTCAATATATATGTTACCAATGCAACCAATTACAAATGACATAGTTTTAATTGCAATTAATTATAATATTGAAAATTGGTTGTATTGATTCTTTGAAAAACATGTCGGCGCAAGACACTTTTACAATCCATGGGAGAAGCATCGGCAAATAGTTATATTTTTCTACCTTCTTAGACTATCGACATTGTGAACAACAAGAAAGTTGGGGAATAGATGATGTGTTAGATAAGGATGGTCCAATATTCGACCACAACCCAAGCGCAAATTATGCCCTGAAAACGTGTTCACCGTGAATGGTGAACACAAGTCCAAACGACGTCGTTTTTACGCAAAAAAATAAAAAAATAAAAAATCGCAGATGTGGAGTTAACGGCGCCGTTTGATCAAATTATGAATTTTCTGTTATGAGATTATGAATGTAATGAAAATTCATAATCTCATAACAGAAAATTCATAATCGCATAAAAGTAAAATATTTATTAAATTATGAATTTTCTGTTATGAGAATGAGATTATGAATGTAATGTAGATTCATAATTTCATAACAGAAAATTCATAATCTCATAACAGAAAATTCATAATCTCATAACTGAAAATTAATAATCTCATAACTGAAAATTCATAACCTTATAACAGAAAATTCATAATCTCATGGTTCCAAAGTGAATGTGTAGGCATGGTTCCAAAGTGAATGTGCAGGCATAGATTCATAATTTATGAATGTCCGTGATTTCGGACGGGAATGTGTAGGCATGGTTCCAAAGTGAATGTGCAGGCATGAATTCATAATTTATAAATGTCCGAAATCATTGCTCACCTCAAATTAAAGTGAAACCGCGAAATGTGAAAATGAAGAAAAAAAGTCACGCAATTAATTAAGGAAAAAAAAAAAAAAAAAAGATAACGGTGTACTAATACCGTTGGAACCGTGTTCACCATGAATGGTGAACACGGTTCCATGGCATAACGATTGCAACCCAAGTGGTTGGATCGACTTAGGCCCATTACTATCGGATTGGAGGATACACTATCTCGGCAAATTATGATGTGGAACCGGTTCCAAAACTGTTCATAATTATGAATATATAGTTTAAAAATTATGAACATATATTTCTATAATTATGAACATAGAGTTGTGAATATAATTATGAACATATAATTTTGTAATTATGAATATAGAGATTCAATAATTGTGAATATGAAGTTAAAAAATTATGAATATATAACTTTATAATTATTGACACATATTTAGTAATTATGAACATAGAATTCTGTAATTGTGAATATAGAGTTCAATAATTATGAATATGAAGTTTAAAAATTATGAATACATAACTTTATAATTCTGAACATATAGTTAAGTAATTATGAACATAAAATCGTATTCACCTTGTAAGGTGAAGACGGTTCCACAGCATAATGATTGCACTATCTCACTTAAGGAAAGTATGACTAATTGATCCAAGGACCAATTTTAGGAAATCATTAATTTTCCTTATAATTTAGCATCGAATGTAAAAATATTCACGTTAAAAATTGACTACTCACTACGGGAGGCGGGAGCTAACGCTGAACCACAAAAGTAGCAAATCGACTTCACTGGGGATCAAACCCAGAATCTCTGATTCCGTAGACCAGCGCTTTATCCATTGGGCCATGAAGTCCTTGTAATCTATTGAATAAATAAATTTAAATGGACAAATTAGATGCAGTATCCGGACAAAAAAATTAAAAAGAAAAAATAAATAAATAAATAAATAAATAAATAAATAAATAAATAAATAAATATATATATATATATATATATATATATATATATATATATATATATATATATATATATATATATATATATATATATATATAAAATAAATGTGAGCTCAAGGAGTGGTACCTCAGAAATAACTAATAATTTGTGTTTATTTATGTGTACTTTGAACAAATATTATGACATTCAATTTCAAAATTAGAAAATGTCATAGTTTATTTAAACACTGTTGTATATATTATTTAATTTTTAAAATAAAAGTATGATTAACAACCGCCATATATAATACATATAGGAAAAAATTATGGTGGGAAGAAAATGTTATTAAACACCATAAAATTGAAGTTGTGATTGAATTTAGATGCTTATATTCTAAATTATGTCATTATCGTATTTTACAAAAACAACTAATACAAATTAACACTAACATCACTCAAAAATAAGTGCAAAATAAATAAATATAGTCATGAAAGGGGTAGTGAGTAGATGAAGCATGATACACAATGTCTTCTAGTGCGATTAACCTTTCATATGTTGTTTGTGTGTCATTGCATTAATAGAATCAAAATTTATTTAGTAGACATTCTTGAGTAGTGTTTGGTGGGCCCCTGGTCACCAAAATAAATAAATAAAAATCTGGCTTGTGGTGCAAACTATCGTTGTCAATTGTCATGGCTACAGAGTTAGGCGCAAAGGCAAAATAATGTACAAAAAACAATGCATTACATTTCATTATTGGACTCCTTGAAGGCAAAAAGTGTTGCTCTATAAATGAACATATTTGTACAAACAGCCCATAGCTTAACGGAGTCTCTTGCAATTATTCCAATTAAACAGATTTTTGTACTATGGGAGAATTATAATTTTCATGTTTATGTTATTAGGATGTAATTGTTAGTTTTGTCTCTAGTTCTTACCCTTGCTCATATTTAAGTTGCTCTTTCGTATAATTCTTTAGTACCTATTATTTTCGTTCTTAATTATTTTGTAATTTTCATTTCGTGCATAATTATTGCACAATATCTTTTAGAACAAATTGCACTTTTGGTTCTGTGACTATTGGGGTGTTGGTAATTTGAGTACTTGACTTTTAAAACTCTCAATTTAGTCATTTAACTATGCAATTGTTAGCAGATTTGGTCTTGCCGGCCAATTTTCACCGGAAAAATATAAACCATTTTTAATTATTTATAAATGGGGGCAAAAGAGTCATTTCACTATTTTTCTTCCTTCCCCTCCATTCTTCTCCGTCTTTCTTCTTCTTCCTTTGCAACAACGGCCGAAAACCGCCGCCTCCAAGTATCCATCAACAACGGCAGAGCCATTAATTCCTTTACAGTGACGGAAATAATTTGAATTATACAATAATGTGGATTATACAAGATTAATTAATTAATCAATCAGTATCCTTCTTTGTTCAGCTACCAGAAAATTAGGAAATAATTTGGTAAATCATAAGGTCTCTTCGAACTTGTAGACACAGAAAATTCGAACCTAACAAATGGACTGATAAATGTTTATTGGACCGACATCAGGATTGATTATTGGGCCAATTTAATTAATTGGATCATAGAAATTAAATTGATTTAATTAGTCCAATTAAATAAGATTTGGACTATTGAATTAATTGATTAGTTAGCCCAAGCCCACTTCATATTTGAATTTAAATTATAATTATAATTTAAATATAATATTAATTTTATTATATTTGAATTAGATAATTATAATTTAATTTGAATTTGAATTAGATTATACAATAATGAACCTAGACTTGATCTTGGACAATGTTCATTTTCCTAATTAATTAATTAATTAATTAATTAATTAGTTAACTAAAAAGGGGAGTTGGTTGAAGAATTTTGGTTAAGCTTTTAGTATAAATAGGGCCTTCATTTTCATTCCAACACACCACTTGAAAGCTTGAAACACTTGAAAGCTTGAAGAACTTGAAGACTTAAGGAGTTGAGAGCATTTGAAGAGCTTGAAGGCATTGAATAACGCTTGAAGTTGAAGGCATTTTTTGTTGATTTTGCAGGCAATTTAAATCCATTGCAGGTACTTTGGAGCTTTGCAGAATTGATTGTCTCGAAGATATTGAAGTCTTTTGAAGGCGTTTGAGGATCTTAAAGCAGCTTGAATCCATTGCATGTGTTTTGAAACTTTGCAGGGTTGATTACTTCTAAATTCTTGACGCTCGTTGTTGGAAGTTACGCCACTTAAATCCCGGAAGCTACGCCACTTGAATCCCGGAGGCACGCGCCAATTGAATCCCGGAGGCTACGCTATTTGAATCCCGGAGGCACTTCCATAGATAACGTCAGTGAAGAATCAGAGGACTAGACAGAGATTTTGTACCTGAATTGAATTATACACACGCTGTACAAGGAATTTTGTGAATATATATACAAAGTTTACTCTTTTTTGTGTTTACAGATTTTGGCACGCCCAGTGGGACTACTCTGCCTCCCATCTCTTCACTATTGATTCACGAGCTCTATAAGGAAGGAATCCAAATGGCATCAAGAAATCCCTCCTCCAAGATGACTTATGCTCAAGCTACCCGCTCCAAGGCATCATCCGTGGCCGGTTCCGGTGATAGCCAAAATGTGGAAGGAGCAATGACTCGGAGCCGAGTGAGGAACCTAGGGGTGCAACTGAACGAGACCCAGAACATGGTTCGTAACATCGTCCGAAGGATTGAAAGCAACTCCACCAAGTCATGGAAAGCTGCATATGACAAGGGTTCATCTTCGACGAGAGAAACTGTTGGCGACAAGAGTCATATGGGCCCTACTACCACAAAAGGAACTCCCAGCAGCAAGAGTATGACTCCCCCAAAAGGAACCCCTAGCAGTGGCAGCTCGTCTCCTACATCTCAATCATCACCTCTGCAGAAAACATCGTCGGAATTGACTCACAGCTACACAGTCATGCCCGTTATGACGACGAACGCAGCTTCGGTGGAGGAACAACTAGCAAACATCACCAAAGGTCTTGAGGGGATAACTACGTTCATGCATAACCAAGAAAGGAGAATCAATGAGCTCAGTGAAAAGGTTGAAAGCAGAAGAAACGACGAAACAAGTCGAGCTTCCGAGAAGCAGCCTCAAACCCAAGAGGATGAGATTGATGTCGAGTCACCGCGTCATGAAAGTAGGCCAGGAATGGAAGAGACAATCTCGCGTCCACCACCCGCTGAGAAGAGTATTCCAATTTCTGAGGGCATGATACCTGTAGACCAGTTGAACGACTACATCATGGGAGCAATTAAGGGGAAGCTCGAGGGAGGAAAATCTTCATATACTTACACTAAGCCCTATACTCAGAGGATTGAAGAAATGAAGATGCCGCTGGGCTATCAACCTCCCAAGTTCCAGCAGTTTGATGGAAAAGGCAACCCAAGGCAGCACATCGCCCACTTCATTGAAACCTGTAATGATGCAGGAACATACGGAGATCTCCTCGTCAAGCAGTTCGTCCGCTCTCTGAAGGGCACTGCCTTTGATTGGTACACCGACTTGGAGCATGGTTGCTTTGATAGCTGGAATGATATGGAGCGCGAGTTCTTGACCCGCTTCTATAGCACAAGAAGGACTGTCAGCTTCTTGGAGCTAACCACTACCCACCAATGGAAGGGTGAGCGTGCGGGCGCTTACATCGAGAGATGGAGGGAGTTGTGCCTTAACTGTAAAGAGAGGATATCACAAAGCTCCGCAATTGAAATGTGCATCCAAGGCATGCACTTTGAGCTCTCTTACATCTTGCAGGGAATCAAGCCTAGAACATTTGAAGAACTATCCAGTCGTGCTCATGACATGGAATTGAGTATTGAAGCTAATGGGGGATTAAGTATGTCAAGTATGCCCGGCTCATCAAAGGCACCTGCAAACCAAGACGTAACAAATGGAGTAAGTTCTTTCCAAAGCAAGAGAAAAAAGAGACGATGAACGTGATGACAGGACCAATGCGGGTTTTTACCAAAGTGGCTGAGAAGCCCAAGCAAAGATCATTCACTGGCCCATCAAGGGGAGCTAGAAAAACAATTGTGGAAGAGTGGCAAGAGAAACAATATCCATTCTTGGATTCTGACGTTTCTCCTATATTTGACGAGTTGCTGAAACTCAAATTAATTGAGTTGCCTGAGATGAAGCGCCCCGAAGAAGCTTCTAGGGTAGATGACCTCAACTATTGCAAGTATCATCGTCTCCTCGGACACCCGATTGAAAAATGCTTCGTCTTTAAGGATAAAGTGATGGGGCTTGCTCGTGATGGAAAGATAGAGCTTGCGGATGCTAGCGCAATCATAAACCAAATTTCATGTGGGAAGTTTGCTCCATTACTTATAGAAGATGAGGAGAATAATGGGGGCAAGCAACATAAATGCACACTTCCATTTAGAGTAACGCATGCTGGCGTCCAGTATTTAAAACCATCACAACTTGATCCTGCTAGTCATATTAGACCATTGAAGAAAATGACAAAGCAATGGGTTGAGAAGAAGTCGGCAAGGGACCCTGTCCATGACTCGAAGAAGAAAGGACTTCCCAACAAGCCACGGGCACCAGTTATCCTAGCTCAATACATGCCAAAGGGGTTTCGCCTGAGTAGAACAGACATTCTTGGAACTTGCTTGAATACCAATGAAGAACATGTTGAAGTGGGAGAATCTTCATTCCCCTTGATTGAAGGAAGCAACGAGGTCCAAACTCGCAAAGCCGCGTCTTACACTGCAGAGATAATTTTCAAAGATGAAGATCTATTGCTTGGTGATGCACCACACAATCGCCCATTGTTCGTAGACGGTTATGCACGCGAGCAAGGAATCAAAAGGATTTTGATTGATCAAGGATCGGCTGTGAATATTCTATCACTCTGAGCTATGAAAGAACTTGGCATCTCTACCGACGAGCTCTCTCAAAGCCGCCTGATGATTCAAGGTTTTAATCAAGGTGCGCAAAGGGCACTAGGTACCACCAGACTCGATCTCAGGGTCGGAACATTGAACTCAAATACACTATGTTATGTGATAGATGCAAAGACGTCTTACAATTTGTTGCTAGGCCGACCTTGGATACATGAGAACGGAGTAGTCCCCTCATCATGGCACCAATGCCTCATGTTTGAAAAAGGCGGTGTGATAGAAAAGGTGATCGCTGATGAAAGTCCCTTCATTGAAGCAGAATCATACTTTGCAGACGGAAAATTTTACTTAAAGAAACAAGTTATTGTTGAAGAGATTGACAAAATCAATATTGACACACCTCCCGATCCAAAGTGGAAAGGCAAACAAGTCGTAGACCAAGCTCATTGCAATAAGGAACTTGTTTTCCCGCTTACAAGAATTGAACCATTGAAAGCTCCCCCAACCAAACCGCTTGGAGAAAAAACCAAAGATAACGATGCTCGGGATGGAATAGATGAAATGTTGCCTGTTAAGCGCACTAATGGCTTCGACCCCAATGCTTATAAACTTCTAGCTAAAGCTGGCTACAATCCCAAGGAGCCGCAGAAGTTGGGGAAGCTTATCCCAGAAGCCGGCGGTAAAGGCAAGTCAAATCACCAGGGACCGCATGAACGTAAAGGATTAGGCTATGGGCTCTCTAAACTAGTGCGGATCTCCATAAACAGAGCCGCAAGTAATTGCATCACGTCTACCGATGAGGAGGAACAACACAAGAGGTAATCAGTCTTTGATGGGATTGGCGAGGTAGAACCACGACGGTCAGCCATCACGTCTCCCGATGAGGAGGAACAACACAAGAGGCAATCAGTCTTTGATAGGATTGGCGAGGTAGAACCACGACGGTCAGCCTTTCATAGGCTTGGGTCAAATCTCAAACCTGCTAAGAGGAAGTCCGTACATGACAGACTCGGAGCTGCTCGAGTTTTAAAAGAACACACCGACACTTCTATTGAAATAGAGTCTTCAAAAAGGCTTAGAAGTATAGTTCCCTCTCGTATGAGACGAGAAGTTGATGTCCATGTTTCATGCAGCGAAGTCTTGAAGGTCCAGCCAAAGACCATCATATACACCCATGTGCAAGAAGGAAAAGAAGACCTTGATTCAGGTTATGGAGCGACACCAATTCAAGATGAGGTGCCGTCTTCATTCCACATTAATTGACATGATGAGATCCCGGTTGCGGGGGCATGTACAACTTGATTGATGAAAGTGATGCGCAAGTTGGCCTATTAAGTAAACGAGACTACTTGATAATCCACCAAAAATGCAGCACGTGGTTAAACTGCTAATGCATCTCGCTTGTCTATGGGTGGGCCCAAGTCAAGACGCTCCTGGCCCGCATGAGTCTAAACTATGAACGACTTTACTTTTTAAAAAAAATTTTGAACTACGTTTGACTTGATCTCCTTTTCAGGAGTACGTAGGCAGCTTAGAAATTTTATTGTCTAAGTTCAGTCATAACAAAATTTTTATATTTTCGTCCAAGATAGTGATTTTATTCAAGCACACATTAATTATTGGCATGAGAAGGAGGAGAACAAGTCTAGGAAGCATTGCAAGTCTTGGAATGGAAAATAATTGTCAAATCATGCATTCACGCAACAATTGGCCCCATTGTTTGGTATTTTGGTCATATCTCGGTCTATAATAGTCCGATTGAGATGATCTAGGTAATGTTGGAAAGCTAACTTACAGAGCTACGACTTTCATGAAGACACCTAAGCTTGAAAATGACTGTTGAAGGGTCAAAATTCGAGGGAAAGGGAAGGCACAAATCTGTCCAAAATTTTCTGTGCTCTTATCTCATTTAAATCTTCGAAGAAGAAGGTATATTTTCATGGTTCCTTTTAATGTCCAGGGATATTAAAATGCAAGAGAAGTATGTTTTAACAATCCAATAAAGGAACGAGCTAAAGCGAAGTGACAGTTTGCGTGGCATCGAGTTATTGTTGTGCATGGGTAAAAAGAGTTTCAATTGATCATGAATTTCTTCGAACTTCTCTTTCATGCTCCGGGTCCAGTTGTTAGGGGCGGTGGATTAATTGCGATGATTGTGATTTTTTAGTCCCATTAAATCGTTTGTGTTTAAATTATACTGAATTTGAAAAAAAAAAAAAAACCGCGGCAAAAGTGCGGTAATAATTAATAATAATAATATTATTATTATTATATTCATATTACTATTAAAATATCAAAAAGAAGCAAAAGAAAAAAACAAACGAAACAGAAACGGAAAAAAAACCAAAAAAAAAAAAAATCTGTAAACAACCCTGCAGAAAAAAAAAAAAAAAAGGAAAAAGGAAAGTTGGAATGTTACAGGTGCATTTTGTTTGTGTATGGTAAGTCATGTGTACGTACATAGTATATATAATATTAAAGGCTAAAGTGCCATCCCGCACCATGAACTATTCCCAATTATTCACCCCGCACCATGAACTTTAATAAGTGCTATTTTGAGCCATAAACTAATTATTTTTTTTCGCCTAGCACTTTTTGTAGGTTATCCGGTAATAAATATGACATGGCACCGGTTTGCACGCCTTATTTATTAGTGACGTGGAATCCATATCAGCTTAATTAAATAAAAAATAATAATAACTTAATCAGTCGTGACCTATTATCCAAATTCCCCCTAAATTCTACCCAAACCCTATTGTTCGACTCCAAGTCTGAATTCTTCGACGACTGCGGTGCGAAATTGACTAAATCCCCAATTTGATTCTTTAATCGGCGAAATCGACGAACTGAAGACATGGCGGCTGAATAAGGTACGTTGTGAACTGTGATGCTGATGTTTATGTTGTGAACTGCATGTGATGTTGATGAATATAATCATTTGTATTTCCTTTCCAAAGTGGGGTCTATGAATTTCATATTACAATGAATATAATGAATATGATCATGCTGTGAATACAATGAATATAATCCTTCATCTATGAACTTGATTTACTTGATTTTCCAGTATTGTACATGAACTTCATGATTTTCCAGATTTTATTTTGTTTCTTCTGTAATTAATTGATTATAGTATTCCCTTTATAAAAAAAATTGATTCTAGTATTTTACATGGACTCCATGATTCTAGTATATGTTTATTGATTTTCCAGTAAAAAAATTTGTTAGCAGATTTATGATTTATGATTTTTTCATCTAGTATTTTATTGATTCTAGTATTTTTTTCATCTTCTTCGAATTTATGATTTTTTTTGTTTCTTATTAACATGTCCAGGATGGAAATGGTTATGGATTTTTTTTATGGAAGGATCAAAACCTACCAAGGAGAGGAAAATATGAGCACGAAGACATAAACGTCATGGTAGTTTCTTTGAATCGTGAAATAGGAGGTGTGCGAGATGTAATTGTAAATGACTATAATGATATTAGAAAAAGAAAACAAAATACTAAGAAAAAATGTTTTGTTCTCATTATTGTAGTTGGTGTGCTTGTAGCAAAATTATTGGTTTGAGATGGTAATACAATGAGTTTGTTGGAGTAATGTACTAGCTGCCAATGACATTTGTATTCAATTAAAATTTGCCAAGCACTGTATTCAATTTTTACATCCACATACATAGTACTGTAATTCAATTCACAACTTGCCCATAATAAAAAAACTGCCAATTCACATTCTGCCCATAATAAAAAACCTCTCAATTCACATTCTGCCAAATTAATTCAATTCACATAATAAAGCATTGTATGCCCAAATTCACATATTCACATATATACATTTTTTCAGTATCTAGCTAGTGAAAAGACAAAAGAAGTCACTATATAAACACTAGCTAGTAATCTACAAAGACACAAAAAAAAAAAAAAAAAAAAAAAAAAAAAAAAAAAAAAAAACAACAAAAAGTGACTCCATTAATCTTCAACTTCATCTGCCTTCATTGTTCCATTGAGCTTCACTCCATGCAGGCTACATAAATAAAGAATCATTGTCAATTAATCAAGCATTGCTAACAGTCATCTACATGAATAATTCTATTCAATTAATTTACCTGACATTCCAACAAAGCTTTCCTGTGACAAGTCTGTCCCTCTTCCACGTCCTCTCACTCTCCCTCTCCCCCTTGCAGTAGTAGATGGTCTTCCTCTTCCTCTAACAGCAGAAGAACTGGCAGATTCTGCTTGTTGGCTTGATAGTGTAGGACAAAATCGTTTATTATGTCTTTTTCCCTTGCATAGTTGACATGTCATAATTCTTCCTTTTCTTGACAACTTCTTAACCTCTGAACTGATTTTTTGCTTCTGTTTTTCATTATCTTCAAGCTTTCTTTTCTTTTTTGGCCTACTAGTCATCTTCCTTGGAACAGGAGCATGTATCTCATCACCTTCAGTGGTTGGCCAAAAAGTTTCTCCATTCAGTGGCTGGATTACATGCTCATAAGTCTTCAAGTAAAGCTCCTTACTATAGCATTCATGTATGTACTCTTCAGGCTGGTGTCCTTTGTGAAATATGGCACAAATGCCATGACGACATGGCATACCAGTCAATTGCCAAAGCCTACAAGAACAAGTCCTCAATTGTAAATTTACCTTGAATTGAAATCTGCCCTTTTTTATTTCATACCCCTCAACTCCATTGAATGTCACATCCCAACCTGCACTCCCAAGTATGTTTTCATTGAGCTTCTTCAACACCAATGAGCCATAATTCCCTCTCCAGTTTTCAGCCAATGTTTTTTTCTTTGCTACCCTCTTCATTGTTGCTACCCTTATATCCTCAAGTAATGGAATTATAAACTTTGATCTTGCACTCAACAAAGTTCTATTGAATGCCTCACTGAGGTTGTTATCTACCATGTCACACTTGACATCTTCCTTGAAGTAAGCCTTGCACCAGAATTGCATAGGATATTTGTTAAGATCAACTCGGGCACCAACATCAATCTGCTCTAAAGCCTTCAAATTTTCAGCAAGTTGTGGTTCATTTGGTGTCTTTGCAATCTGCCAAAAATGACCCTTCAGAACCTTTCCCCGGTGACTTTTACTCCAATTGGCATGCACATGCCTAGCACAATTTCTATGATGAACTCCTGGGAAAAGACCTTGAATGACATTAGATAATCCCTACACAAAACCAAAGCAAAATGAGCACAAATACGAATATATAGAATGAGAAAATGAATACAAATAGATTGAGAAAATGAAACAAGGATTATTTACCTTTTGTTGATCACTCATTAGTGTCCATTCACTGCTGTCCACAATGTCCAGGTCTGTCTTTAAAAGCTTCAAAAACCATCTCCATGAAGAACTATTTTCAATTTCAACTACAGCCCAAGCAATTGGGTACATCTGATTATTCCCATCCCTACCAACAGCTGTGAGGATTTCACCCTTCAATTTGCCCTTCAAGAAACATCCATCAAGTCCAATAAACTTCCTACACCCGGCTAAGAATCCTTTTTTCATGGCATTAAAGCATACATAAATCCTCTCAAACAGCAAGGGTGAATTAGGAACAGTACTTGTAGTTTGTATCTTGACAGTAGAACCAGGATTTGAATTTAGACACTCTTGAGCATAATCTCTAAGCCTCTTGAATTGATTCTATACCCTATATCCAACTTCTTAAGAATCCCCATTATTGCCCTTCTACACATGCTCACTGTCACATTGATGTTCAACTCTTCTTTAATGGCCCTACTCAACTCTGAATAACCAATACTCGGATTTTGTCTCACCTTTTCTTCATATTTCCACTCTACCCACTTCTGACTAATTATCCCTAATGTGAATTCATTGTTGCATCTATGCTCCAACCTCATTGATTTCACTTGAAAACACCTTGTTATTTCTTCCCAACCTGCACTAAGATAAAAAGCACATCCCTTTCCAAGACATTCTACCCTCACATACTTTAATCCATTTTTTTTCCAAAATAAATCCCTCTTTGTGTGTACAGCATAACTGATCATAGCAAGCTTGAATTGCACATTGTCATCAAAATACATACCTACTTCAATAATAGGTGGATCAGATTTAGGATTAAACTTGGGGTACTTATCATTGTACTTTGACTGGACTTCATTTCCTTCATCATTCTGCAAATTTTCTTGGACTGTAGGTGGATCCTCTGAATCATAATACTCAGACTCTTCTTGTAAAGGAATATCTGATAGTGGCACATATTGGGGTAAAATTGACTCATCTACTCTTGCTTTTCTTTTTCTCTTACCCCTACCCTGATTTGGAATAGTGTTCTGCTCCCTCTCTTGGTCACTATCACTCCCAATACCCTGCTCACTTTCATCCTCACTTTCACTCCCAATATCAACATCTGTCCCTTCTTCACTCCCAAATTCAGCATATATCCCTTCTTCACCTCCTAATTCTTCCTCAACCCCAACCTCATCCCCAGCTTGATCTTCAACCCCTTCAGGCCCCGGTAAACAAAAACCAACTACTTCAGGCTCATCTAGTCCATGTTCAACATAAATCTCACACTTTCTATGTTGACTAGCAATATGAGCTAAGTGTAGACTACTAGCATCATTGTTTAATAGTTTTAAAGCTTCATAGGGTTCAGATGTCAACTTGTATGTAAGTGAGCCTATTTTTCCATATCTTTGCTCAGTTATATATTTGAGTAAATGGGGATAACATATCAAGTCCGGGTCCAAATGCACTACATCAGTCTCACCATTCAAATATTGTAGCTTAGGTTTTTTCACAAAATTACCACCATGGTGAATTATTAATTCCACAGAGTTATTCATCCTGACAAAAAGAAACATATTCAATAAGCCTACCAACAACTATGCAGGACTACAATTATTATAAACATAAAAGTAAGGACCATAGACCACACTTTACGACTTTATAGTTTATACACAACAAACTGACAAAAATAAGCTGACAAAGCACTATGCAGGACCACATTTATACACACATATTCAAAAAAAGATAAAGAAACCAGACCCCACTACTTCATATTATAAAGGGAATACTAGAATCAATTAATTACAAAAGAAACAAAAAAAAAAATCTGGAAATATGAAGTCCATGTACAATACTGGAAAATCAAGTAAATCAAGTTCATAGATGAAGGATTATATTCATTGTGTTCACAGCAGAATCATATTCATTGTAGTATGAAATTCATAGACCCCACTTTGGAAAGGAAATACAATGGATTATATTCATCAACATCACATGCAGTTCACAACATAAACATCAACATCACAGTTCGCAACGTACCTTATTCAGCCGCCACGTCTTCAGTTCATCGATTTCGCCGATTAAAGAATCAGATTGGGGATTTAGTCGATTTTGCACTGCAGTCGTCGAAGAATTCAGACTTGGAGTCGAACAATAGGGTTTGGGTGGAATTTAGGGGGAATTTGGACAATAGGTCACGACTAATTAAGTTATTATTATTTTTTATTTAATTAAGCTGATATGGATTCCACGTCACTAATAAATAAGGCCAAATCAGATGCAAACCGGTGCCATGTCATATTTATTACCGGATAACCTACAAAAAGTGCTAGGCAAAAAAAAAATAATTAGTTTATGGCTCGAAATAGCACTTATTAAAGTTCATGGTGCGGGATGAATAATCGGGAATAGTTCATGGTGCGGGATGACACTTTAGCCAATATTAAATGTATGTTATGTATATAATATAAAAGGCAAGATGGTGGCGTGGTGCTGTAAAGAAAGTAACTGGTGGGGCCCATGTGAAGTAATTCCTTATCTCATTCCCAATAAAAATGGTAGTCACGTGGAGGCTATCTTGTGTAGATGAGTTCAAGCTAAACTACAGTTGCAGCTTGAGTCTTCCTTCATAAAATCGAGGAGTAGTTCCCAGTGCCATAAACAAAGCCTTCCTCAATCGCAGTGTGCGTGATGGTAAGGACTTGGCGCTTGAACCTTCGATCTTTACTTTCGGATTTATTCGGTGTAGATTCAACATTTATGCCTTGATACTTGCTAACGATCGGATACGGACAATTTATTTTGAAATGTCCGGGTTTGCGGCAATTGTAGCATAAATTGTTGTTTTCTTCGACTTTCTCTTCTTGTGTCGTGCGAGAGACGAATTTTCCACGAGCAGAATTTTTGTTGTCTCCTTTTCGCATGAACCTTTTGAATTTTCTAACAAAAAGAGCAAATTGTTCGTCAGTTATAAAATCAATATTATCTATTGACCTGGAGGTTGACGGTTGTTCGGCCATTAGAGCTGGATTTCGAATTTCATGAACTTCATCATCTTTGGCCTTCATTTCGAACTCATATGCTTTAAGATCACTAAATAATTTGTCGGTTGACAATATTCTTAGATCTCAGTGATCTCGCATAGCCGTAACCTTCATATCCCAAGTAGATGGTAAGCCTCGTAGAACTTTGAGATTAATTTCCTTTTGGCTAATATTTTTGCCAAGGTCATTAATTTCTCCAAGGATTTTGATCATTCGAGCTTCCATATCAACAATGGATTCATTTGAGAGCATTTTGAAGTCCTCGAACTTCTTCATAGCAATAGTGAGCTTGTTATCTTTTTCTTGTTCATCTCCTTCTCCGATCTTGATGAGAGTATCCCAAATTTCTTTTGCACTTGTACATTTTCGAACCTTTGGGAATATTGTATCATCAATGGCTTTGAACAGAATATCTTTGGCAATGTTGTCAAGATTGTTCCTCCTTCTATCATCCGATGTCCATTCCGGTTTTGGCTTTGGTACGAATTGTTGAGCATCCGGAGATAGAAGAAAAGCCGTATTTACTTTCAATATTTCGATCGGGCCAGTGGAAATAACTTCCCACATTTCATCGTGTAAAGCTGATAGATGAACCTGCATACGAACTTTCCAATCATCAAATTTATCAAGCGAGAATAATAGATTTTGAGCTAAATCTTTATTCATCTTCTCGGTGGATACGAGAGACAAATAATCCAATTTACACACACTGGGTAAGATGGATCTGCCTAGCAGTCAGAAACAAGGTTGACCCAATTAGGCAACGTGCTTTGAAAGCAAATTGGCCTAAATAGACAGCCTGCTCTGATACCAATTGTTGGTCCCAAAAGAGGTAAGGTGAAAGTCTAGAGGGGGGGGGGGGGGGGTGAATAGACTTTCAAACTTTTTAGCACAGTACCACAATTGCTAAGCCAGAGATAAACCAAAACTCTTAACTAGATTGTTAGAGTATGGTGCGCAGCGGAAATTAATAAACGATACGGTGTGTGTGTAGATCGTGTCAAGATTATTCTCGTGAGAAGCAAGCAAGAGCAGTAAGTAAAGAAAGCAGTAAAGAACACAAGGCAATTTATAGTGGTTCGCGAGGTGGTGTAATCCTCCTACTCCACTTGCTCTTTTCTCCAAGAGCTAATTCACTATATCCACCACTTCTTGGTTCCAAGATACAATGAATTCCGTGATCTAGTGCTTTGATCACCAAGCCCACACTAATCACGCCCAGTGACACCAACACTGCTGCTTCGGGTTTCACGTCGCCGCGTTACTTTCCCAGGATTTCACGACTCCGCGTTACTTTCCCCCGTCTTCTACGATCCGGTAGAAACGTATCTTCCGTGATCTGGTGCTTTGATCACTAAGCCCACACCAATCACGCCCAATGTCCTCCGACACTGCTGCTTCGGATCTCACAGCTCCGTGTGACAATCCAGGATTTCACAACTCCGTGCTACTTTCCTCCTTTCCCTTGTTTTGCTCCAAAACAAGTTTTGCCTTGATTCCAACTTTTGAGACTCTGTAGATGATCTTCGTTGATGCGCTGAGTCTCTTGAAGTTGATGAAGATTTTAACACTCTTGGATATTTCTTTTCTAAGCTCTGTATCACTCTGAGTGTTTATCTCACAAAAGATAGAACAATTTAAGCTCCTGAGATGAAAAACTTTCTTTGAATTTTATATGCTCTGTTTAGCTCTGTTCTTTGCTCTTTGCTTATTTGCTTCTTTCACCCCGCTTTCCAAAGCTTCAATCTTCATCTATTTATAGCTGGCAGTGAGAATATTTCCGTTGGAGAGAAACGTTCTCATTTTTTAATTTCATCCAGCTGTATAGCCTTTTGTCAGAAGATAAGATAACGTTGCAGATATGTCAGAGATTTCAAGTTGAGCTTGAGGTTTTAGCAAAAATGGCGTCCCATAAATTTCCATCTGGTGTAGATCACGCCTCTTGGGATTTTTATCTTCAAAGTATAATCTCCAATATAATCCCTTACTAGTTAGACTAGTATTTTTGCTTCTGCAACTTTTCCTCTGTACTTCGCGTGTCTGGGTCTGTAGACTGCTTCCGGACTTCATCTCTTCAATTGACTTGGGAAATCTCTTCCCTTGTGAAACTTCATCCCTTGCTATTTTGGGAAATGAAATCTCTATCCTTTGCTAGATTTGTCAATTGAAATCTTTGGGAAATCTCTTCCCTTGTGAAACTTCATCCCTTGCTATTTTGGGAAATGAAATCTCTATCCCTTGCTAGATTTGTCAATTGAAATCTTATCCCTTACTTGTTTTAGACTTGCAATCTCATCCCTTGCAATTTATATCATCCCTTTCAATTTATATCTCCAATTGAATTGAAGCCTTGTAGATCTCATCCCTTCAAATTGAAATTGCCTTTCCTTCGAGATATCAATTTGAACTTCAAGCAATTTATATCTCCAATTGAATTGAAGCCTTGTAGATCTCACCCCTTCAAATTGAAATTGCCTTCCCTTCGAGATATCAATTTGAATCTCCAATTGAATTGAAGCCTTGTAGATCTCATCCCTTCAAATTGAAATTGCCTTCCCTTGCCTTCGAGATATCAATTTGAACTTCAATTGGGCCTTCCCTTCGAGATATCAATTTGAACTTCAATTTCCCAATTGAATTGAAGCCTTGTAGATCTCATCCCTTCAAATTGAAATTGCCTTCCCTTCGAGATATCGATGAAATTGCATCCCTATGTCAATTTCCGGGATACCAATTTGAGAAACTTCATCCTTTAGTCAACCATCGCCTCTTACTTTAACTGATGGAATTAAACTTGGCTTCTTTAAAATATATGGGATGTGAGATTCGAACCTATGACCTTACACATAATATTTCAAGCTTCTACCATCTCGTCCGTACAACCTTTGAGTCATCTTTTGGTTTCACTTGGTGTACTCCTTTCTTTCCATAGATGCTTGATCTTCAAGATAGCTTCATGCAAACTTCAAGTCACGTTCTTTCTTCTTCGGGATTTCTTGAGGGATTTCTACTTGAATATCATACGCATACATTTTCCTCTTTTGTTTGCCATTTTCACTAGGCAAATTCTTGATTTTTGGATTTATATCTTCTTCATCCATTTCCTCAACTAATGAATTTATTTTTCCCTTTCTTGGTCTATGACTCGATTAGTCTAATAAAAAATAAAATTGGGGATCTACGAATTACAATATGGCTTATCAAAATCTATTACAATTTATTCCTAACAGAAAGTTAAAGTTGCCGCTCGTCAAGGAAAAATCAATTAAAATTTTGGAAATCTTATGGGCTTGGTTTCGGGCTTGGGAGCATCCAATAGGGGCTAATATGTGTTAGGATCCAACATGACAGATTGGGCTCATGAAATCAAGATGCATTACGCCAGTGTCATTTTAAAATAATTTTGGGCTTAAGATATATTATGCATGTGTCTTGGGTTCATGGGAAATAGATGCACCACGATGAATTTAAAGGATCGTTTTGTTAAGTTTCAAGACTTCCTCGCTCCAAGCACATTAAGCGACATGTCCCGACAAGTCTCGAGGGGGCAATTTGTAGACACAGAAAATTTGAACCTAACAAATGGACTGATAAATGGTTATTGGACCGACATCGGGATTGATTATTGGGCCAATTTAATTAATTGGATCATAGAAATTAAATTGATTTAATTAGTCCAATTAAATAAGATTTGGGCTATTGAATTAATTGATTAGTTAGCCCAAGCCCACTTCATATTTGAATTTAAATTATAATTATAATTTAAATATAATATTAATTTTATTATATTTGAATTAGATAATTATAATTTAATTTGAATTTGAATTAGATTATACAATAATGAACCTAGACTTGATCTTGGACAAGGTTCATTTTCCTAATTAATTAATTAATTAATTAGTTAACTAAAAAGGGGAGTTGGTTGAGGAATTTTGGTTAAGCTTTTAGTATAAATAGGGCCTTCATTTTCATTCCAACACACCACTTGAAAGCTTGAAACACTTGAAAGCTTGAAGAACTGGAAGACTTAATGAGTTGAGAGCATTTGAAGAGCTTGAAGGCATTGAATAACGCTTGAAGTTTGAAGGCATTTTTTGTAGATTTTGCAGGCAATTTGAATCCATTGCAGGTTCTTTGGAGCTTTGCAGAATTGATTGTCTCGAAGATATTGAAGTCTTTTGAAGGCGTTTGAGGATCTTAAAGTAGCTTGAATCCATTGCATGTGTTTTGAAACTTTGCAGGGTTGATTACTTCTAAATTCTTGACGCTCGTTGTTGGAAGTTACGCCACTTAAATCCCGGAAGCTACGCCACTTGAATCCCGGAGGCTACGCTATTTGAATCCCGGAGGCACTTCCATAGATAACGTCAGTGAAGAATCAGAGGACTAGACAGAGATTTTGTACCTGCATTGAATTATACACACGCTGTACAAGGAATTTTGTGAATATATATACAAAGTTTACTCTTTTTTGTGTTTACAGAACCCATTTCCTCTCATCAGTAATCGAAGCCGCCGTCGGAGAATCAAATCCAGATCGACCACTGTTGTCCAGATTTGGGCATGTCTGTGTCTATAAATTTGCACCTTCTGACCGAAATTGCAAAACATGCCTCATGACCTCTAGACTACTCTGCTGAAAGATCCAATCCACTTGATCGATGTTTAAGAACTGATTGGCAAGAATAGTCCGAACGCGCAAAACTCATCTTTGAAGTAGCAGAAAGAAAGCAAATCATTGGCGGGAGAGACACCACATTTTTGATTCCTTCGACGGCGTCACCGATTCATCAGGCCTAGATCTAGATCATCTACCGCCTCGTCGGATTCTTGCAAAGGCATCGAGATTGTCAACCAGGTTCATGGTTCTTCCACACGCTTCTAGAAGAAGGATTAGAACAACGCTGCAAAAGTTTAATTAAAAATCATATTAGGTAATTAAAAGTTTATCTCAAGATGATTAATTAAAAGTTGTTCACGAAAGTGGATTTGAGCAGAATAGTCCAGCAGATGCAATTTCGGCCAGGAGGTGAAGGGAGGAGAAGAAAGTGACATGAAATGACCATTTTTTTCCAAATGTATAAACACTTGAGTAAATACATAAAATGGTTCCTCGACTATAGCTAAATTCACAAATTGGTCCTCGACTTTCAATTACAACCAATTAAGTCCTTAACTTTGCAATTTTGACACGATTTGGTCCTCCATCTATTTGATCATTTATTGACCGTGATCGACGATCTCCAGAAGAACCTTCAGCTCTCGTCGGTGCACGTGAAGGCCTCCAGGATGACATTGCACCGGTTCGGAAACACGTCGTCTTCTTTGGTCTGGTACGAACTCAACTACATTGAATCCAAATGGAGGATGAAGAAAGACGACCAGATTTGGTAGATTGCCTTCGGCAGTGGATTCAAATGTAACAGTGCGGTCTGGAAATGCAACCGGAACCTTAAAACCCCGACGATTGACCATGAAATTACATATATATCCTCAAAAATCACAGTCAACAAACGGTCAAATAGACAGAGGACCAAATTCTGTTAAAATTGCAAAGTTAAGGACTTAATTGGTTGAAATTGAAAGTCGATGACCAATTTATGAATTTAGCTATAGTCAAAGGACCATTTTGGGTATTTACTCTAAACAATTTAAAAACCGTTACATTTTTCCGGTAAAATTTGACCGGCGATTCGACCGGCAGGATCAAATCTGCTAACAATTGCATAGTTAAAGGACTAAACTGAGAATTTTGAAAGTCCAATACTCAAATTACCAACACTCCAATAGTCACAGGACCAAAAGTGCAATTTATTCATATCTTTTATTAAGATTTTTTTCACATGATAACATCTTAATTTGTTACAACTCCCTATATTTACACAATTTTTTTTCCTAAAATTTCGGAGTCAACTTTGAGTAAGATTTTGCAAAACCTTCCAGTGGAGGGTGAGGAGGTCTTTGCTAGCGGCCTCCATGAGAACGAGTTCGACCTGGTGGTATTTGTCAGGGCCTTAGGAACGAATTTCACCAATCTTCTCCTTCAACTTGGCGTTGGCGTAGAATTCATCGACGTCCATGTTGTGCACCGTCTTGTAGTCGTGATACCAATATTTCAAAAATCGCGCCTAGGCACCGCCTGACTGTCGTGAAGAAGGACGGAATCGACCTCCTCTGTGGCCGGTTAGGCAGTCTAGGCGCCGCCTAGCTGGCCGAACCGTCCAAAACCCGATTTTTTAATTTGTTTTTTAGGATTATTCGCCAAACAACGTCGTTTTGGCGAATAACCCAAAAATAAAAAATAAAAAAAAATCACAATTTCGGACGGTGAAGCATTGCAGCCACATTTGTCGACAGTCGAAACCCTTCCTCTGCACACCGCACATCCTCACGGCCTCACCCTCCGCCGCGACGCCGCCCGGTCCCTCCGCCACCCAACGTTCAATTTCAGTCAGGTACATAGTTTTCTCACTTTTCTGTTTTCAATTTCAGTTTTTCACTTTTCAATTTCAATTTCAGTTTTCATTTTTCTGTTTTTGAATTTTGAATTTATGTTTTTGATTTTATATTTTTATGTTTTTGTCTTTTTGATTCGTTAATCTTAATTTGTATTTCTATTTAGGGTTTTTATTCTATTTTTTATTTTATGTTTTTGATATATGTGAATTTCTATTAGGCAGTGTTGAAATGTGAATTAGGTATTAGCTTATTAGAGTATTAGGTATGTATGGGAATTTGGGAATACACTGAAATGTGAATTTGTGAATACAGTATACACTGATATGTGATATGTCTTATGTCTATGCATTAATAATATATTAATATTACTAATTAGGTATTAACTATTAATTAAATAATTATTAAGTATTAACTATTAACTTATTAAGTATTAATAATCAGGTATGACAAGTGATGATAATAATATTTCTCAACCACCAATTCAAACTCAAAGTCAGAGTGTTGGATCTTCTCAACCATCTACAACGTCAACTACAATAAAAAGAAAGTCCAATGATATAGGTTGGGACTATGGGGTAATTAATGATCCTACTAAGTCAATGGACAAGATTAAATGTTTATTGTGTAAGAAAGTAATGTCAGGTGGAGTTTATCGAATCAAAGAGCATATTGCTGGTATATCAGAGAATGTTAGCAAATGCCACATAGTTTCAAAGGAAGATCAATTAAAATGTAGAGATGCTCTCATGATGGCAAAGAACAAAAAGAAGAACAAGAGAGCTGAAGAAGTTAATATAAGAGCGGAGGTAAACATTGATTCACATGAGAGTTTGAGTAATACACCTACAAATACTATTGATGTTGATGAGTTGCAAGACTTGCAACAGTTTGGACATTTGAAGCCACCTCGTCCAATTGGCCCTATGGATAAGTTTGCAAACCAAATAAATCCTGAAAGTTCTCTGAGTTCAGGAAAGGGCAAGGCGCTACAGCGGATAATTGAGGCATTTGACAAGGAGAGAGTTAACCGTGTGAAGAGTACATATGCAGATGGGCTTATGAATCAACTATTCCATTTCATGTTATTGAGAAAGATAGCTTCAAGTTGATGATTGAAGCTGTTGGTTAATTCGGTCCGGGAGCGCATGCACCAAATAGAAGGAGTACATTTGAAGGGTTAGTTAAGTCTTTACTTAGTTATTTTTTATTTTTGTTTGCACACTTGATGGAATGATAGTTGATGCATTTGTTTTGCATATTTGTAGATACATACAAAAAAAAAAAAGTTGGAATCTAATCGCCTAAACAATCTAGTCTTTGTGCAATTCAGTGCAAACTTGATGAACAAAAGGAAAAAAGAGCAAAATGTTGAAACATTACTTGGTAGTGATGCAAGCTTGGCACAAGATTGGATTGTTGAGGATGAAGTTGAGGTTGATGTTGAAGATGAAGTGGCTAATAATGAGGAGGGTGATGAAGCATTAAGACCATGACGAAGTTCTAGATTGAGGGAGCTTGAAGAAGAGAACTTTGAATCCGAAAGTGAAGAAGAAGAAGTGGTTGTTGAATTTGAAGATGGAGAAGTGAGAGAACAAAACCTTGAAAATTGAATACCTGAATTTGATATCTTGTTGAACTTAATTGTCATGTACTTTGTTTGAAATTTGATGACTTGAAGTTTTTTTGTATTGAACTAGTGATATGATGATATCTTTATTTGAAACTTTTGGAGTTTGTATGGACTATTAACTATGAAGTATGGAACTATGGAGTATGGAGTATGGAGTTATGGACTATGGATTAATGGATTATGATTTATGAGTTGTGATTTTGACATTTTGTGGTTTTAATATTTTATTATTTTAATAAGGTTTAATGTTTTAGTGTTTTACAATTTTATCAGTTTTATCACTTTTATGTATTCAATTTCTTAAGAAAATGTTAAACGTGTTTAATGGTATAAAATATTTACTTGTAATTCACTAATTCTTTGAATTGTATACTTGTATATAACTAATTAAGTATCTAGTATATACTATATAATTTACAATTAAACTAATGTATTATAATTTTTTAAATAATTTTTAGACTTTTAGCCATTTTAGGTAATTACGTATTAGAATTTTACAATTTTTAGTTTTGATTTTGTTTAAATATTAAAATAAATAAATAAATAAATAACGTGTTTTGCAACATTGTGTGGCACACATACTTCATCAATCCATTCCTGCATCTTGAAGACATTGCAGGATCTTCTCCGTTTGCTCAGTCAGTGGAATGCTTTAGCGACCTTCCATGTCAAGCATAAGACCATTTTTTACCTTCATGCTCAACTCTTGAAGAGTTCGATGGGTCATTAACTAGGCTGTTGGGATGGGAACTGGTTGAAGACGATGTAGTAGCCATTAATGGTATTTCTGGAAAACTTGAGAGTTGGAACATTTTGAGAGAGTTTGAGAGAAAGGGGGTGACTTTTTACAATTTGCTAAAAAGTGAAAGGAGTAGCCTGGTTTTGGGTTTAAATACCCTTCAAATCGGGTCGAATTTAAGAATGGGTATTTTGAAAATTTTTGAAGGTTTAAAGACAAATGGACAAAATACTTTTTCGATAGTCAAAGGTATTTTGGCTGGGTACAATGGTTATAAGTACGAAATGAGTGGGCTGATAAGGAAAGAGAAATGTAAAAAGTAATTTGTGCACTAAATAGGAGAGAGAAGCACATTAAATGTGAGTTTCATATTGTGTCAATTGGTACAAAACGTGTACAAGTGCGTAAAGTGGTTTTCCTGCTAATTTCGAAAAGTAATAATGATAAGAATAAATATTACAATAACGGCTCGGAGCAATTGTAGGCTGACACGTTCCCCCTGTCGCCTTGAATTCCACATCATTTGTTAAGCAGTTACAGCTAACTTTTCGTATCTCTGACCATCCGCTCATCATTCTGAATCTCAACCATTCGAAATTCCTAAATGTCCATTCAGTCTACTTGACTATTCGACCTATTTTACCATTCGGCATATCTTGTTGTCTCAACCCATTCGAACTATCTTAACCATTCGACCTTGACTTGTTTGTCCATTTGGCCTACTTGATATCTCAAGCCCACTTCTCAACCTTTTGAACTTTCTTCCAACCCTTCGGTTGCTCAAGTCCAATTAAAAGGCCATGAAGCTCAAGCATGGGCCTTGGGAGAAGCGTCCTTGTTCTTGATCGAGAAAGATCAATAGTATTGCAGTCACAAGACTGATAAGCCCGAGTATGGGCCCTAGAGGAGAAACATCCTCGAATTGATAAAAAAGGATCAATAACGTTGCGCTCTCTAGACCGGGAAACCCGAGCATGGACCCTTGAGGAGGAGCGTCTTCATGTCATCAAGTCGATGAAGATCAGTAATGCCGTGGCTAGAAGACTAAGAAGCCCGAGCATGGGCCTTAAAGGAAAAATGTCATCATCTTGTAAAAATGACGTCGTGGTCACAAGACCGAGAAGCCCGAAATAAAGCAGAAGGGGATAAATACCCTCTGTTGAGATCATTAGATCGTGATTCGACCTGACCTCAGCTCGGCATAAATTGATCCCTAGACTGCTAAAAACCTAGTTGCCGATTGAATGACCAACGATAAGCTGTGCTAGGTGGCTAGTTAGGCCCGAGCAAGGCCTTGGAGTGGGAAGTTGTAATAAATCGATTGATAGATCGCTAGACCGGTAAGCTCTAGGATAAAGGGAACGACCAGGCTAAGCAAAAACCTAGACCTAATCTCATGATTCGGAGGAGTCGATCTGAGATTCATAAGAAACGAAAGCAGAAATTCAAACTGAAGATGAATAATGTAAAGAAGAAATTTTAAATTAAAAAGCTCAAAAGATAGCAAGTTTAATGCTTGGCATAATCAGGGCCAAGCTATCGGAATCTACGTTCACAAAATGGAAATAGCCCGACACAATCAGGGATGGGCTCCAAAACATCAAAACTTTACTCCTCAACGGGGGGAATTTGCTCTTTGTCCAGTTCGGACGACGAAGCGGCCGGTTCAGAAGAGGTCGGATATGTGTAGGGAGCGGCCCTGGATCAGTGACTTTATCAAGCAGGATGCCCAAGACAGCTGCGAGGTCTTCGTTCTCGTGCGACTCGGCCAATGATGCTCGGACTTCTGTTTGCATGGCCCGTTGACCGCTGGAAAACGCCCATTTCCCTTAGGTCCAGACAAGATCCCCGCCGACCTTGGTCTTCAAGAATGACCAAAAGAATGGCTCGACAATAACCCGGTCACTGCACAGGTGAGTGGCTAGCCGGCCTAAGTCAACAACCGTGTCGTAGAGTAAAGAATCAGAAACTCGGTAATCTGAGATGGCAATCTCAGCTTTCTACTTAGCTTCCTTCGCCTCTAGCTAGGCTGCCGCCAGCTTCCGCTCGAGATCCTGAATCTTCATGTCCCGGTGAGCTAGGATATTCTTCAATGGATCAACCTCTTTCTCATAGATGCGCTCTGCCGCTTTAGCCCGACAAAAGAGGTCAGTTATCGTGTGAGCCATCTGCAAAACAAGTGCTAAGGAAAATAAACAAGAGAACGTTCACAATTGAATAAAATGGAGCGAAAGCGAACCTGCATGATGTCCCAAGCATTGCGTTTACCGACCTAGTTAGTCGACCAGTCGAGGGTACTCTCGTAGCGAGGGACTAGACTGCAAATCTTGTCCTGTAGGGTGGTCGAGTGATCTTCTCCGCCCATCAAAGCGTTGATCACCAAAGTCTAATCAGGGGAGGCCGCTCGCTTTTGCCTCTTCTGGGAGGCAATCTCCTCGACCTTAGGTTCGGGGGCCTTATCCATTCCCCTCTTTGAATTTTCCCGGGTGAGTAAGGCGTCTGACCCTGAGCTGGTCGGAACTGCAGTAGTTAGGGGAAGGGCGGTCAGAACTAACGCCTCACTAGGGACTCCCTCGAACGTCCCAGTCTTCTTGGCTCCTAATGTGACCTTGGGGTGAGCGGCTCAAGGAGTGGATGACCCGGTCGTGAAGCCCTTATCCAAGCCCATATCTGCAAAATAAAAACCGAATGGTCAAAATCATATTTCCAGAATGTAATTTATGATTATTGAGTGTAATTTTGCAACCTTCTACACTCGGATCGGGTTGGGGAGGTGGCACCGCAATTGTAATCGTTTTTTGCTCGAGTGTATATTTGATCTCCATACCATACCTCGGATCTTAGAGACCAACCGCGATTGGAAAAATGTGATAATTGTAGAACTCTGAGGAGATCTTCACCGCTACCGAGGTTACTGCTCGAGTCTTAGTCGGGAAAGTATGTTTGCAGAACTGCAAGGCCCAAACCTGGGGGACCAGTAAACACTAGATATACTTCCCCAAGTGGGTTATGTTGTAGTGATGGCCTCGAGACTGTGTAATGAGGGAAACCCCCACCCCCCCCCCTATCCCCCGCCCCGTGTTTAGATGGAAATGCCCGAACAAAGAAAGAGGAAATGAAAGTGGTCGATGGTCTAAAGAAGGTTGTGCCGAGCATAAATTTGAGGAAAACAAGCCAGAATGCAATGCGCATTCGGGCTAATCTGACCGGGGAGGACCCCATAATAAGAAAAAAATGAAAGAGAAAGGGTGAACGTTGAAAGGGTGTTTGCAAGTAAAACTACTTGGGAAGCTCTCAAGTTAGCAACGAGTAGTAAGCGCAAATGGGACATCCTAGAGCGCCCTATTTATAGAGGGTGGACGATGGGGAAGACTTTTCAAATTTCAACATTCAAAACGGATCACGAGGCAGTTGTTAGACGGCCGACATGTGCCCAGCGAACCGTGCGAACGTTAATCCATGTTTGGCACTGTGCATTTTCACCACACTTGATCCCCGCCCACAAGGAAAGGCTGCATGGGTTTCTTACTCAGATTATCTTAACCCGAACCCTTCCTCCGTAGACTATCGTCAGGCCTCGGGCTGGGGGACTACTTGATAAGGATTATATTACCCCAGATGTTTCATTATTCTAACACGAAATGTACATTATTCTAACACATAACATACATTATTCTAGCACATAATTTACATTATTATAACACATAATGTACATTATTCTAAACCATAATGTACATTATTTTTACTCATAATATTCATGATGATGTTTTCCGTGATCGACACAATAATTTGCCTGCAAAGTGGAATCCAGCCACTTTGTGGAATTGTTTCTGCAAAGTGGGCGGAATCCACTTTGCGGAATTGTTTTCGCAAAGTGGACGGACTCCACCTTGGGGAGTTGATCCGCAAGGTTGACAGATGAATTATCCTGAGATTATAATTGTAGCATGGAGTAATGTTAATGGTATAAATATTATTGAACTACATAAATAGTTTGATGATATTGGTTCATGCCTAGAAGATGGAGTTCGAAATGAAAGACTTGGAAAATCAAGTATTATCTCGACCTATATATTGGGTATTTCTTTGGAAAATTTTATACACAAGTTAACCTACTTTAAAAAATATTTTTGACGTGTTTCATATGGATAAGTATTATATTTTTGGACTCAAAGAGGATAATAATGATACTTTGGGACTTGAAGTTCATTACTTATTTGCCTTAGAGCACTGTTTTATAACCAGAAGTTCCATAATTGCATTAGGCTTGATGTTGTATTTGTGATGAACATGCCAACAATATTTAGGCCCTGTTTGGTAAATGGCAGTTAGTTATTAGCTGATTGGGTTAATTAGAGGGTATAACTAGTTGATAACATTAGCTAATTGTAGAAAGGTGTTTGGTGAATTGACTGTTAGCTGATAGTTGTTTGGTATAATTTCTTTTATCAAAAAGCTAATTGAAAAAGTTGCTTGGAGTAGCTTTTTAAATTTAGCATTTTGGAGTTACAAAAAGCTAATTAACCAAACACTTATATTGATTTTTTAACCAAATCAAACAATTAATAGTGGTCAAATAAGCCAAAATTGGCTGATAGGCTAACTATTTACCAAACAGGGCCTTAGTGTTTTTCCTATAATGAAACATTAGGAAAATGTTTAACATATCATCTGGTATCTTTAATGTGCGGAAGTGGTGGCATACTTTATGTAAGAAACATAGATATTGTTTTTGGTAGGCTACTTGAATACTAGTTATTTGCCCGATCCCTGTAATGCTATGTTGCAAATTGGTTATGCCATGGATTACCCCCAGTGTCCTATATGAGAATATTAAAGCTTATGTTGTATAAATAAGAAATGAGTATATTAAGGGGTATTTGACAAAATATATAGTGTCAAGATTCAATCCACATGATCTCTAGAATAGTCATAATATTATTTTATAGAATAATTGCTCTAGTGACTGTCTAGCATAATTGTTCACTAAGTCCTTGCCTATATTCATATTTGAGAAATATGTTCATAAAATTGAGATGCACAGGCTTGAAAGGTTGTCTTCAATGAGAGCGACAATATCTAGGCACACTTGAATAGACAAACCCTGAAAATCCTAAAAATTATGTCACGAAGGCTTATGGTTGTACTCTTTTTCCCTTACCTAAGTTTTTTCCACAGAGTTTTTTTAGACTAAGGTTTTTAATGAGACAACTAATGCAACACATGATTTAATATATTTCGTGTACTCTTTTCATCAACTAAAATTTCCCCCCTTGATTAATAATAAGGTTTTTTTTTTATACAAGGTATGAGTATGGAAGGATAATGGCCATGTGCAAGGGCGGATTTAGCGTGGGGACAGCTGCTCCCACTCACCCCACCCCCACCCCCACCCCCACCCCATATATAGCCTTTGTATGTATATATATATATATATATATATATATATATATATATATATATATATATATATATATATATATAGTACATGATTTACATATAAATATTTGAAAACTGATAAAAATAAACAATAGTTAAGTTGGACGAGTTAGCAAAGGCATGTGTGGACTTAGGAGATGTTTGTGGTTTGAATCCTACCTCTCTCAACATAGGGTTTTCTTTTATTGCTTCGTTAATCCCTTTCATAAATGTTTCATTATGGCTTTTCGCTTTTATATATATATATAGTTTTTTTTTACGCGCTTTGCGCGAATGGGATAATGTCCAATGATTATTTTTAAATAAGTATTTCAAAGTATATCAACGCAATATTATATCGGAGATGTTCATGCATATGTAAATAAATATTGAATTTGTTTATTTAAATCGGTAATTCAAAATATATAAATGCAAGATAATATTTATTGAATTTTCTAATTCGATATTTGGTAGTGGTAGTTTTCCCCTACATGTTTCCTGCATTGTGAGATGTGTGTCGTAGGTTATCATGTGAAAGTATTGAACAAAATATTAATATTAATATTTATTATATTTGTATAAAATACTTGGTAAATAAATATATATATAATGTATTTTGTATTATAACTTTGATATTTAATTACAAGATAATGTAAAAAGAAGACAATGGACAATGCAGTGAATATAATAAATTGATAAATTTGAAGGTAATGAATCTTTGAATTGTAGAAAATAAAGATAATATAATTAATGAAATTATATCTATTTTTAAATTTTTTATAATGAATATTTTTTTTTTAAATAAAGGCATTATAGACATCTAATTCTAAATTAATTAAATGCATATGTATTATTTTTTGTTGTAGCTACTACTTTATTTAGTTTAATAAGAGTAATAAAGTGGCGTATATACTTTTCATCAACAAATAATGCAATCATTGATTTTTATTTAAAAAAAAATGCATACAAAAAATATTAATGCAAAAGTATAATTGAAATATTAAGTTTTTTCCTGATTTAAATAATCAAAAGAATATTAAATTTTTTTCTGATCAAATGATTTTTAAAGTTCTTGATTTATAATCTTTGATGCTTAACTTTGAATGTTATGTATTTAGTCAGACTAATTATTTGAACAAAGTTTATGTTAAATTTTATATTATATATATTTTAAATATATTTTAACATATTCGTAGTATATGTTTAACAATTATGCCAACTCTAATTGGGGTGTGGTTCGAAACTAAGACTTTTCTTATAGAAATTAATGTATAAGTTAAAATAATAAATACTTAACGGAATATTCCGTTACTTTAGTTTATGCTAACGGAATTTAGGTTATTTAAGGGAAGAAAATAATATAATAGAGGGCAAATAAGGAAAATCAATAAAAAAAAATACTAAAATAAAAATAATATGAACCATTCATTTTAAGAAACAATAGTATAATATGAACCATTTATTTTAAGAAACAATAGGACCGACATTTTTTTGTTCCAGTTAAGGGCCTAACATTATTGGCTCTTATTAGAATTGTGTATATATATATATATATATATATATATATATATATATATATATATATATATATATATATATATATATATATATATACATATATATATATATATATATATATATATATATATAATGAGATGTATAATTTATAATATGTTTTTTATTTTAATTATTTTATCAAATTAATTATGTTTCATATTTTGTTATGAATATGTTTATAAAGTTTTAATATGTTTTAGTTTTCGTTTATATCCAACAATATTTATGACTTTTTTTTAAGTGTTTCATTGTTTTTCAAACTATAATGTTTTGCACTATATCCAACCATATTTATGACTATTTTTTTTAAGTGTTTCATTGTTTTTCAAACTATAATGTTTTGCACTGACATTTTTTTCTGGATTGACCATGTGGAGTGTTATAAAGATTTGTTTCAATATGACCATTATCCCACTTACTCCTATTTTAGTGTTGTTCTTTTCAAAAGGTTGAACCCCAACCCTAAGGGCCCACACCCCATGGTTCATTTGCAATTATCCCATTGTGTGTGTATCAAATAGTAACGTTATTAATAAGAGTGGCTCTTAAGGAAGATCTAATTTACAACAATTTATAATTTATTACTATCAGATTCAATTAAATTTCTTTAATTTTTAGTGAATCTGAAGGAATTGATTAGCCAAGGATGAGCTAATAAAGTGAATTGGAGAGCAAAGTTTTAGCAGAAGCATTTTCATTCTTCTTTCAAGTATTTTTAGTATTTTTTAAATTATTTTTAAATTTAAATTTTTTATATTTAATAATACATTTAATGTAATTTTAATATATAAATTTTATATATACTCATACTAAATTATAAAAAATTGAAAAAAATAAATTTTAGTCAAGTCTCATTGACCAAACCAGACACAAAATAAGATGAAAGGAGTAACATAAAAGATAATCATCAAGTAAACATGATTATATACATCCCTCAACTTTAACCAAACATGTTAGAGACCCAGCTGTGCCTGTCTGTATGAGTCGACAATGAAGGGTTCTTTTATCTCTTAATAAAAAGCTTTTTTTTTTTTTTTTAATGGATAGGATACTGAGGATACATGGATAGAAATAAAAATAAAATTTGATCGTGAGATACATATATAAAAGCATTAGTGTTAGAGTTGATATGGTGTGCTCCAATATGTAGCAAACACCGCCATGAAAAATACTACATGTAATCCCATTCTATATATACAACAAAAATGGCGGCTAGACTCTAGTCTAGTCTAGTCTATTGCATCCATCTCGTCATCTTCATTGACATTATTTTCCTCTTCTTATTAGCTTTATGCTTGGCTGCAATTCTTATCTTCCTCTTGGCATTTCGCATTGGATTTACAACAGCCATAAGCTTTTCTTCCTGTTTCCTTTTATCTCTCTTTGCTTTCAGCTTTTTCCTTATTTGGCTGTAAACTTGAACAAAACTCTGCATACCCAACACATCTCTTATGCTTTCACAAACTTCCTGTGCTAATTGCTTCACATCATCTGAACAGTAGAATATATAAAGTGGAATTGCATCAGAAAATATGTATATATTCAAGGGGAGAAACTCAAAACAATATTAGAAAATATGATATTCATCAACCACTGAAAGGCAGGCCAGGCCAGCAAATGAAAGTTAGTTTTATGTTCTGCTCTAATAATCATTCAAGAATCTAAGATACCCCACATGAAGTAGTTCAGTTCTGGAATTCTGGATCTTCAGAACTTGTGCCGGAGGCCCGGCATAGCACATTAATTAGCAACTGGTGGGGAGACTAAAGGAGAGTCTACGGTAAGAAAGCGGGGCAAATTTTTCTGTGGACCATGGTCCATACAGCTGTGTGCACCATGAATCGAAGGTACATTTTTAATATATTAAAAGTACATCATTTGTGTATTGATTGTAAATTATTTGATAGTATACAAAATAATGTACTTTACATACACAGATAATGTATTATTAGTATATTAAAAATTTACTTTTTATTTATGGTTCACACAGAGCTGTGTGGACCATGGTCTATGGAATAATGATTCAAGAAGCGGTGGGGCTAGGCAATGTTTGGGGAGGGGGTTTGTTGGGACACAATGTGAGGGAGGGGATGGAGGATCTTTGATGGCTGAGAGCATAGTATTAACTGAACACAGAAGTGGAGAAGAGGAAGGTACAAGTGTCAATTGATTTGAACCACCTAGGGCCCTAGGGGCTTTATAATAGTAAGAATGAGATGCATATAACAGTCAAAAGGTTGTTTATGATAGTTTTGATGGGGGTATTTTTGTCACTAAAAATAAGGCCTGGTTCATTTATTCAGTGGAACCAAAACTCCTCCCAGAATGGACCATTCAACAGTCAAAAAGGTTATTTTATCGTACTTTTGATGGGGGTTTTCAGCCTTCTCCAGAGGAACAACATGCAGAACCCAATTTTGTTAGAAACCAAAACTTGAACAAGTATCCAACCACCCCCACAGAGAGTCAAGTATAGAAGATTCACCTGAAATTACTTTCCCAGCTTGTCCTTCACAAACTTTGTATAGAGGCAGCAGGATTTGATAAGCATAGCTCTGGCTGTCAACCTCATCTTCAGACGATAATACTCTTGATTGGTCAAGAAGTTTGATAGAAATTGATTTGAAACAGTTGAAGACGATTCTTGTCTGCACATATTAATAAATGAACATTGATCGATAAGAAACTTTAAATAAATAATAAAAAAAACATTTATTTGATCACTAAGATAGCAAAAGATAGTAAATGAAAAATAATTGGATGGGGATAAAGATATTCTTTAAAGAATAGTAATAAATTATTTTTAGACACTACTAAAACCACAAAAGGTAATATAAGTTATTTTCAAGGATAAATAAAGAGAAAAGTATATTGCTGCCTTAGAAGGCAGGCATTTTCAGTAGCAGTTGTGTAACTCTTAATGTTACATATTTTACCAACCTGCAGTGCCTCCATCTGAATAGGAATCTTCCCCATTCTCTTAAGCAGACAGGAGACGATCATAGAGCCTTGGTCCTCGGTTTGCTGTTCAATGCCCTGAGCACTATAATAAGAGCTGAAAGCTGTAAAGATGCTTCTTCCCTTCTTTGGATCAAGTAAATTAAAAGCTTTGAGGAAGCGGCTTTGCTCCTCAGGGCCAAAGGCAGAATGACCACTACCATGTACTAGTAATGCCTGTATACCGCAAATTGCAAACACAAGGTTTTTTGTGATTAGGGCCTCGTCAGCATCTTTGACCAGCTGTACGTTCAGTTGGCAAATGAGAGAAACGGCAATTTGGAACAGTCTACTTGGCTCCATTAAGAAGAATGACCCCAGCACCGCCTGGTTTTCATTGCAAGCCTTGGTCACTCTGGCAAAGTACAAATCTATAAGGCGGACCGATATGCTGCGCACCCACATGTGTGGATATAAGAGGAAATCACAGATTGTTTCCCACAAATCCTATGACAGTTCAGGAAAAAAAAAAAAACAAAGTATTAAATTCAAAAGAGGAAAATGCACCAGGAGATTAAACAGTTAAAAAAGACTAGCATGATTCATATAGAGATTGAATGGGTTGACATCTTAGAGGAGCCTAATGAAGCCTTAAAAAACCTAGAATAAAATTGCTAGCATCCTCTAATAAAACCTAAAATAAAATTGAATGCTGGCAGCTATGTTATTTCAGGTGTTGATTGACAAGTATATATATCGAAGAACAAATTGCATTCCACTCAATACATATATGTAAACATGCATAAAAACAAAGTTGTACCCAATCATGCTGCTTAGGATTATAAGGGTGTCTTAAAAACATACAGCAGAAAATTTGGAGTAAATAAACTTTATTAGACATCTTCTTCATGTTTGCGAATAAGTACTATTTAAGGCAGTCATTCAATTTGAAACAAATCAGTAACTCATGATAAAACAGTAAAAAGTTAAAGATGGACCAAATGGTTTCTTGTTTCTCCCAAACTTCCTGTACAGTATGGGGTAATGAACTCTGTACTTATATCTACCCACAATGAACAAAAATTTATAGAAACATGCAAATAAATAAGTTCACACCAGCATGTCCTTTTTCACTGCAGTATCAACAGGTAAAAGGAAAGAGCACTTTGATACCTCAAGCTCCTTTGTGAAGCACAATGCAGTAAATTGATTATGAATCTTCTCTAATAGAACCAATGAATAGTATACTTCCTTCCAGAGGGGAACTACTTCATCAGATAAGCCCAGTTGTCTATTCGCAAGAGCAGCGCAAGCAGATTGCAAGATTTTTTTCGTAACAGATAAAACATCAGCAACATACTCCTGAAAACTGTTACCCATCACTTCCACCAATAATCCCAAAACCTGAAAAGCAAAATAATGAAGGCTTGCAATAAGTAAATACCTATGGCGTAAAAGCAAACAAAAGGTGGAGACACCTCTATCACAAATCCAACAGGATTTCCTTTTTCTTTTGGGTCTTGTTTAATTGTGATAAAATTAAAACTCCACTGATATCTCTCAATCACAGGAAATAGCAATAAGCACCATCAAGTGAAATGCAAAGAATATTACAGAACTGAACCAGGAGAAACAGCAGACTAACGTGTGATTCAAAGAACTTAGTTCGAAACATAATACTAAACTACCAATTGTCAGTTATCGCAAGACAATAAGGTGACATGAAACCAGGCCAAATTCCATGTTAAACAGCACATGTTTCCCATACATTAAATTTGTCATTGATGCTCTGATAGAGAAAAAATAAAAAGATGAGAATACTACGCGACAGCAGTGAAAATGAATCTGATTTTCATATAGATGAAACTGGTGTTGAACTCCTCAGATACAACATTGAGAGCTTTATTGTTATTAAGTTATAAAGACAACACAGCAAGGAAAGGGTGTAAACAATAATGGGAACTATGGTCAGAATACAAACACAACAAAAATATGCAATATCTATAGAACACCTATGCACAAAATGCCACAACAAAGTAACAGAAAGGGTATGGTTACATGTCTTTACCTGTGCTGCAGAACTCCATAAATGTTGTTTCTCACCCCTATACCAAGAAAAACTATATTCAATAATAGACGCAAGTGACCCAAATTTCTTCATGTTCTCTGCAAGTAGCTTTATGGCAACACCAGCCATAGACCTGACTTTGTTATCTTGGTCATTAGCCAAGCATATTACCAAATGCATAAAAATAGTCTGAGACTGCTCTTGTATTCTGTCTGGAATTTTCACTATGATAGCACGAAGCATTTCAAGAACAGCTTCTCTACCAGTTGAATGTTCATATCTGTTAAGAATTAAGCTCACATTAAACAACCAATAGGTAGAAAGAAACATGCAAAACTTGAAAGTAGTAAGTGTAAGTCATGATTCTTGCCTCAGGTTTGCAAGTAAGGAATCAAGATGTTGCTGAAAGCGTTTCACCGAAATTGGATAGCAATCTAAGAACTGTAGAAAAATCTTACTGCATTTCCTGCGAATTGATTCAACTTGACTGGTCACCATCAACTCTGCAACACCTTTGACGACATCATAGATTTCAGGAGCCACCAACTTTTTCTTTATTATAGCTTTCAGCAGAGAGAGAGCCACAAATGAGGGATTTCTTTCAAGATCAACAAAAAATGGGAATTGGATAAGTGATTGAAGCTGTGCTTCAGAAAGTGTCATCTTGGTATTTTGCAGAAGCACTGTTAACAATTTAATACATGATTCCATCAATGGAGTACTGGAATTTACTGAACCTTGGGCAATATCCAACAGTGAATTCTTTATCCGGTTAGCTTCATTTTCAAGGGTTGGCAAAGGCAGCCTGACTATTGAATATAGGCATTTTAGAGCTGCAAATATGATATTTTCATATTTTGAACTCAAACAATCACCTAATAGCCTGACAAAAGGGTCTAACATTGATAACAACTTCTCATCCCCTTTGTCTAGCTCCATGTTCCTTAGGTAGTTCTGCAGTATCCCAACGGCAAATTCTGTAATCAGATAAGAATATCGCCGATCAACACTGATCAATCTATTTGAATTAGTGTTTTCAGCGCTCACTTCATCTTTATTTTTTTTGCCTTCATCTGAGATGAGTGTGTCTTCATGGCCAAAATGTGCATCCTTTAAGCCATCCTTGATGAGACCATATGCAAACACAAAGAGCTCTTTCTGATTCACAGATGGATTGCATTGTATACCAGAAGATATATGATTCAACATGTTCTCCAATTTTGTTTTCACTTTTGGAGTCAGCTGCTTCAGTAGATGCACAGTAACAGGCAAAAGAAGCTTCAAGGCATGGGTTTTGAATGTGATGTTTTGGGCAATCAACTTGAGGGTCTCATAGGACTTCTGCTTTTTAGTCTCCTTCATTTTTGAAGCAATCTTCTCTACCTCTTTCTCTTCTGACACATCGCCAAGTATATCACTTTCAGCAACAGAAAGAAGATCTTCTAGACAATAATCCAAATTTAGACTAGAGGGATTTTGAAGAAATTTTGTCAATATAAAATTCAATGTGTATCCCAGAACATGCAATTCAAATCCTCTTTTCAAAGTGCCTCGCAAGACTTTGATGATAAATTGCAAGTATTCCAATCCAAGCTCTTTTAAGCAAGCTGCCAAGGCAGATCTAGCTTCATCTCGGACACTTTCTAAACGATTCTTAAGGAAGTTAGAAATACGATGTATAATGCTTGGAAGTTGCAATTCCATGATGTCACCAGGAAGTAACTTCAGCACCTTGAGGGCAACTAAACTGATAGTTACATTGACATTTTCAGAATCAGACATCAAAAATTTCTGTACCTTAGGAAGCACGTCTTTCTTGAGACAAATCTGAATCTTAGACAGGTCACCATTGCTAGTAAAGGAGTTTGACACTGCAGATATTTTTTTACTAGTGTCTGGATCTGACATATGCTCCATAGAACCTTCAATTTCATGAACAAAATTGGCTTCTGAAAAATGGAATTGGTCTAGAATGGTGCAGATAAGCCGCATTAACACTTTTTGTTTGTCTTGTTTCAGAGTCATCTCACGGAAACATCTGACAAGTAATCCATAGTATGCATTCCAGTCCATCCATTTAGATATTGATGCAAGAGCTTCTATACATGCATTTCTAATATTTTCTCCCTTCCCATTTTGTAAATCTAATAGCATATTGAAAAGGAGTGGCACAAAAACTCTATTCATAACACGCTGCAATAATAGTGTTTTATTGTGTAATATTAGAATCAAGGAGAGAAAATTAAATGTTTAAGCAAACAGAAAGCATTTAATTGTATAAAATAAAATGGGGGTGTAATACCTCAGAGAAACTCCCAGAAGCAACAACATTGCCAAAACGTGATAGAGCCCTTGCCCTTCTGTGCCTCTGCAGAAACAAATATGACAACAAGGGATGGAGCATTAAATAAATCATATGATATGTTCTTCCACCCAAAAAATAAAAAACCAGAACGAAAACAATGATTTCATTTCTGATTATGAAAAACAGGGGAAAACATCAATATTCATATTGACATCTAAAAGATTAAACAATAACTGTTTTGAGTGTTTTCCAATTTTTTTAAAAATAATAAGAAAGATACTTATACCAGAGAGAGAGAAAGAGAGAGAGAGAGAGAGAGAGAGCACTTGTATTTTACACATTACATGCAAAATCCAATCACAAACATATAGGTCCTACCTGTAAGTGAACAACGTTGTTAAAAAAATCCTGTTCTGGATCTTCACTGCAGAGAACAGTATATGTTTTGAATTCCACCATCTTGTGAAGCTTCAAAACCATTTCACGCAGTAGACCAATCCATAGCTGACAACCAGCACAAAAATATTAGAAACGACCATTACTCCTGATAGTAGGGACACCCACTTAACTAGCAGTTATTAAATATTACTCTTAAAAGTAAGCATCAAGTTCTAACCACTGCAAGTACTCATGAATAAGAAATAAGATGCACAATGGGGAGGAAAAAAAAAAAAAACAAAAACAAAAAGAAGCGGAAGACTTAAAAGTTAGAGCTAAAACTACAAAATGAATACCTTTTGAGCTGCGCCTTCTTTGTTCATTGCATTTCCCATGTGCTTTAAGAGAAAGTTGTTTATTATGTACATAACCCATGATCCAGAACACCCTCGCTCAGGTTGCATTTCTTGTTCAAGAATTTGACCAGAATATTCAACAAATGATGACAACAATCTAAATGCACTCTGCCTGAGAATCAAATCCTCAGATGACAAGTCACGTATAGAATTTGACAAAATAATTAATGCATGTTCTTCTTCAACATTGTGGAAGAAATCTACATTCAACTTTCCATAAGCAGAAATAATAGTATCATAATCAAGATCACCCATATCTGAAGCAGAGGTTGCATTCAGTTCACGAAGAAGTTTTGCCTGCATGAGGTGATTAAAGGGAGTTAGGTACACCAAAGAATTAACATCCTCAGGTGGGTAAAAGAACAAGTACTCACAATAACACCAATAGGAAATTCCAAGGCAGAAATGTACCAAATTAAGTAATGATGAATCATTTCTGGCAAGAGCATCAAGAACATCACAAACAGAACCCCGGACATCAAGATCACCAGAAATGAGAAGTGGAGATATCGATTTGAGAATCTTTTTAATGCTTTCATTCCCTAAAGGTCTTGATATATTCTTGATGATCTGGAGTGTGTCCACACAAATATCTGCAACATAAATATGCAAATGATAAGAGCAAATACAGAAAAAAAAAAAAAAAAAAAAAAAAAAAAAAAAAAAAAAAGATAACATCAAAACTGAAATACTTGAACTCAGTGAGACTCTCACCACAAGCATGAGATTTCTTTGATAAAAGTGGAAGCAAAACATCAACAAATTTCCTTGCAGCTAAAGGTTCCTCTACATAAACGGATAACAGCTTAAAAACATTCAGCTCATTCTCTCCAGGATATTTGGCGAGTTTCCTGGTACAGTAAGGAGTTAGTTAAACAGAATTCAAACAAATGGAACACATCAAGGTACTTGCATCATCTAGGTAATCATGATTCTATTGTTCGTTTTCCTCCTTTTCCAAGAGTGGGATGAGGAAAATTCAAATTTTTATACTAAAAAGGGTATACCAAATTGATATATCCTGTCAGTGTTGTAACATGGTTACCTGTATATGTGTGCATTACATACACAAACAAGTTTGGGGGAAATATTAACTAATTATGTCTACCCAAAACACACACACATAGAATCACTCAACCAAGGTAAACATAAAGCACCAAGAAAATCATATATATCAGGAGAGGCAGTCATCTAAAAAGAGTTCCTATAATGTATAATCCATACCTTTTTATTGGCCCATCATTCACAAAAAGATTATGCAAACTGGACACAAGAACATCAAGATGAGGAAGCAGTAACATCTTTATAGGGTCATCTTCACCAGACTGTTCATTATTCAGAGTCAAAAGGTTCTCAATGAACTTAAGAACACTACAAACAATAGCTTTGGATGCTGTTGTGATGGCTAACATAGAAAAAATATCAGGAACAAGGTTCTTCTCTCTATACAACAATGGTACAAGTTTGTAGCTTCTACTCATTGCAAGAAAGCAAGAAAATAATGAGCTTGGTTTCTCACTACTGGCACCTTCCTGCTTGAAACCAGAAATTAATGGTTTCACAGACTTAAAAAAGGAATCCCAAAATTTGGAACTAAAATCATGATTTTCATATTTATTAAGAATAAATGAAATGATCCTCAAGCACAAAGATCTCAACTCCTTCGACTGCTTCATAGCTGTTTGTGTCTGCACAGAAACCAAGATATCAATTAGTTCATCATTGTCATTGAAATATTTAAGTGCAATGAGGCGCATTCTAGAAGCAATCTAACAGTATCTTTTAAATCAGTTATTGGTGAACTTGGCTATCTAAAATTCTAAAGTTTTAGATGTGAAAGATAAAATAGGGATATTAATCTGAAAGCAGTTCATTAATAACAATTGATAAAACTAAAGGCAGGTGAACAAATCAGCAAAGCAGCTAATGTCAAGTAATCGCACTCCTCACCTACATAATACTGTCACACAAAGTGTCATTCTCTTTGAATATTTGTGATAGAAATGCCAAACACTGTAAATTTAGACTTCCCTATTTACAGTTGAATAAAGGGATAGCAGCATTAAGCATTACCTCAGTTTCGCTCTCAGTGGCATTGCTACAATTAGCAAGAATCAGACTACTATCTGTGTTGCCAAGAGTCAATGCACAGCTTTCCAACAAATATGAAATGCATTCCATTAACAGATTAAGAAACGGGCTAATATGTGCTTCATCAAAAACAGCTACAGTATCTTCAATAACGTGCAGGAAGCTGTATCTCTTCTTCCAGGAAATGTTGCTGATGATATTTGTAGTAAAATGCTTAAAGACTGTAAATGAATTATATTCATCATTTAAGGCTTGAGGATTAGTCCAGAGTGACTCAACGTTTGCATCAAAACCTGCATCTCTTCTTACAAGAGGCTTTACTAATAGGGAAAAGAAGAGTGGCAGCTCTTCCACATCAAGCTGAGCTAAAAAGCAAAGAATTGCCTTCCGATGACTTACACTTGCATGCTAACATATAAGAAGGGAGAAAAAATAAATAAATAAATAAATAAAGTCATCACTGTGTTGGAAAATGAACTGGAATTGAAGAAGATTGACATGTCTAATTATACCTTCCTTGAGGCAAGAGATTTTAACTTCCTCACTTTTGGAGCCAGTATGCGGATGACAGTAGGCACAAGAAAATGTCTATGATGTGCATCAATGAGATTCGAATCCCTTGACAAGCTCCAAGTTGTGAGCTCCTCTCTCAAATTCTTTGCACTGATCAGATTTTTTAGATGCTGATCGTAAGGGAGCAAAAAGGTATCTTTCCAATTCATCAGGCAATCAAGAACTTTCATCTGCAACTCAGCATCATTTTCATCAAGAAGCCTGGGTAACACCAGCAAGAAAAAGGCACATACTGTTACTAGGGACTTGCAACATCCTTAAAATTCAGACCAAAAGAATAATGCAAAATGTTTTTTTTTTAAAAAAACATTATGCATGTGATTTCATGATTTTACCAACCTATATTGTAAGACGTCTTTGAAAAATTGACTCTGGTAAAATGCCTTGGGATTTTTCATTAATTTGAATAAGTTTAGCCATTCCTTAAGAACCTCCTTCCACTCCTTCCCTTTGCAATTCAGTATATTATATGATTCAACACTGCATTTAAAAACAAATAATAGAATGATAATCAAGGAAAGGAAATATTTATTTTTTAAAAAAAAAACATTGCACATAAATAACATCTTACTAAAAAGAATATGTATAAAAATGGAATCACCTCACAAGATCATCAACATTGTACCCTAGAAATTTCAAGAATAAAGGTATTATTTGCCGAGAACGAGATTCAACAACAGATGGAACTCTCTGTAAAGATTGAATCAATAAAGATAAAACTGTTGCAGATGGAGTGCTATCTGACATTGAACAACGATAAGAGCAGAACAGCCCGATCAGATCTAAATAGCAGAGGAAAAAAAAAAAACATCAGAAATTATTGACAAGCACGTGAATCAGAATAAAGTGATTGCTTATTGGGGAAATTGTAATCAAGCTCAATGCCTAGATCATGGGGCACTAGAAGCACAAAATCAAAATCTGAAGATTTAGAATGCAACATACCAGCATCATCCTTGCCAAATGACTCGGTATTGCTCTTATAAGCTTGATCATCATGACCCAAAACGATAGAGAGGCAGTAATCAAGGTACTTCACAAATATGTCCCAAAGTATCCCAAAGTATTGGCCAAGTAGGACAGAAGTGCAGTCCGAAGCTGGACCCCATAAATGGCTAAATCTGTTGTGGAAGATCCCTATTACACCATTCAAAGCCACAGGTATATACCGTTCGTCTATCCTTGCAGCAGATAGACTCATATGAATTTTAGAGATAAGCAGAATAACTTTTCTGCTGGTGGCAATTGAAAGAGGCATTTCTTCAACTGACAGGAGGAGCTGAACAACCTGATAACAAAAAAAATTTGATGAAAAAAAGGCACCTTGTAACAACCAAACAATGCATGCTACAAGTTTACAAGAAGAGAATATAATGTTACTGTACATACATTATTCTGCTGGTCATCTACAGCACATATCTGGGAATCATCAATTCTTCTTTTTTTCTCAGCATGTCCGTTTGTAGAATATCCATCACATAAAGGTTCATAATGGCACAAGATTCTTAAAGTCGATAGGCGGATTTCCTTGTCACAGTTGCACAAATTTTCAGAGAATATATCCAGGGCACCCACCACTTTACTTGCAGCAAGCTCTGGATGATATCGTTTAATAGGAGTATTGGCTTGTTTTCTGGATGTGGAAGCATAGTTATCAAAAATTAGAGTATAAATAGAATCACAGCTCACTACATGAAACAGAAATCATGTACAGTGTTTCTTGGACAGAAAACAAGAATAACAAGAGACAGATGGAAAAGGAGAGCGGATAGGTATGTCTAAACAAAATCAAAACAAAAGGAAATAAAATAGTATATCTACAAGAAAGTAAAGCCAAAAGGAGAGAAGATGATACATCTACAGGAAAGTAAAGCCAAAAGAAAGTGGAAAGTATTTTCTTTTTCCAGGAAAGAGAAAAAGGCCAGAAAGTGAAAGAAATTTACATGGTGTTACCATTGGTTCAGTGTTGTAGTGCACAATGACCAGAATCATGCACACAGTTATCACAAAATATAAAATAGTTAATAAATAAATAGATGCAAAAAACTTACCCATAAATAGAATCCAAAATATCAGCCACTGCAGATAATATCTGAGAGCACATTCTGTGCCTTCTTGCAAGATCTAAAAGCTTACTCACTTCAGACTCCAGAAAAGCAGCATTTTGATTGTCCAGAATTTTAAGAAAAGAACCCAAAGTGGCACCAATCAAGCACTGCCAAGTTTTTCTACATAAATCTGTGAAATTCATCAGAGAGCAAAAAGATAATCACTACAAAACTTCTAGAAATAGTGTATTTAAAAGAATCTACAACTTATATTATTATATAATGTTGAACTAATTGTTCTCAATCTGCCCATGAATTAGCAACACATACAGTACCATCGAACATGATAATAAAGGACAGAACCCTTTTGACAATTTTGTAGAGACAGATAATTATTTCCCAATTAGAAAAAGGTCAGAAAGTGCACATTGCTCCCACATCATGCACAGTTTGGGGAAGGAAGAAGCACACAAGCTTTTGTATGTTTACAGAGATGCTTCAGAGCTTCCAGTGCATTATTCCATAACGTAAAAGTCAACAACACCAGCAACCCTAACAAGCCTAGTCCCCAGGTACTTTAAAAGAAATCAGCAACGTAGAAATACAGGTATATCAGGGAGAACGGTACTAACTACTAATAGACAATCCCTGAAGGCAATTCTGTACCGGACGGTTAATTAATCTAATTAAGGTCATATGCAGAGCCCAAGGCTTCCGCATCATGCACAGTTTAGGGAAGAAGAATTACGCAAGCTGTCCTGTGATTCAGTAGGAGTTTCCAAGGAACAATCAAAACAAAACAAAACAAAATTACCCAGATAGGTCAATTAAGTATATGATATTTGATAAAATGTCGTACCCAATTTCACCGTTAAAAGCTCATCTATAGCATATATTAAGTCCATAAGCAGTGAAGGATTTCGTTTGGCATCAATCATGTATGGATAGCAGCCAATAGTTCCCCATAGGACTGCCAACCTATCCTCTGTAAGTTCAGCAGAGGAAAAATCCTTGTTCACTGCATCTTTGATTAGCTGAATCCAAAAATTTATAGCTTTATCAAGGAAACTGCAAATTCTCAAAATTTTCTCATTGGGTATTCCATCTAAGAAATTCTGTTGTTGTACTTGTAGCCTCTCACAAAAAATGTGCAGCAAATATATAATCTCATCCTCTGGAATCTCTAGTAAATCATTTAAGGCACTGAAATCCAATTGCAAAAATTGAAATCAGTACACATTACACAAATAGCAATTAGCAACTATATAATTTATCATTTGTACTCCACACATCAAATCTAAGAAAGTAAGAAAAGCATTACCTAATAATGTTAGCTCTGAAAAAATAGAGAATAGAGGGGTCCTTTGATACAAAATCTTTGACAAATGTAGCCAAACTGAAACATCACATGCATAAAATATCAGAAGACAGATAAATTTGTTAGATAAAGTGAGATACAAGCAGAAACTTGTAAGTTGTAACAAAACATTTATCAAAGAAATAATAACAAGAAAAACTAACTATTAACATCAAAATAATACCTTTTATTCCTCGAGTCAAACACAGGAGCCCACTGCAACGAAGTACAGGAGAGAGCTGATAAGTTATTAGTTTTGTGGAGACCATCAACAACACAAAGCATCAATGACAAAATTTTATCAACAAGCTCTGATGTTGGGTTCAGTGCCTCCAAGGTGGATGATGGCACAATGTAAGTTTGTACAAGCAAACTAATCACTTCTAGCATTGGTTGGTAATCTGTACAAAGTGAACAACCTTAAAATCATTCCAAGATAAGATACAAGCAAAGTAGATAAATAGACAATAATAAAAAATAAAGTAAATATCATTTTATACTCCACCAGAGATTTTCTCCACATATTCCTTTTGCACAGTAGAAATGAGCAGCGATAAAAGTCGGCAAAGATGCATAGAATGACCATTAGCAACACTATTAGTTATCTCCTTAAATAAGCAATCCCACATCAAGTCCAGCTGCTTAGCATCCAATTCCTCACACAATCTCTGAAAAGCACCAATGACAACTTCAAGAACAGTTTCTGGACCTGCAAAAATGAAGTAGAGTAGGTAATGCACTAAAGAAAAGTCAGAACCAGAAATAAAAATAGCTGAGAGAAATCATAGAATTACTTGCTGACAGTGAACCTATCATGTTTATTATATGATTCAAATTCATCATTGTTTGCTTAGTTTCTTAATCTTCTTTTATATATATAATAATTTTAAAATTGGCATTTTGTATTCAATAGAACTTCTAATATAGTTTCAGTGTGGTATTAATACTCATAGGCCACCCAAGATAAGCCCAAAGTTTATGAGGCAATATTGGCCAGGTCAGCCCAATCCAAAAGTCCAAGCCATGCATGAAGAACAGGTAGAAATTGCAACAAGAGAACTGGTTTCACACTACCACTGCCACAAGACATTGCCAGTTTGCCACCCCTCACAACCAATGAGAACAACCCAACCAAGGCTAGTGCCCATCACTCAATCAAGTCAAGAATACTCATATGATTGTCTCTAAGGTTCAGTATTTATAAAGCCCTGATCCCAGTTTTTAAGGGCAACTATAATTCCAAGATAATAAAATCCTTCAACCTTTTCTCTTAGAGTCAAGTCCAAATCAACTAATCAACCAAACACTAGAACAAGCCCTTGTTGTCATACTTAACTCCAACAGTTTTAGAATATGTAATACTTGTTAAATCAAGATTAAATAATCTACCATACAAATAATTGACAGTTTTAGAATAAGTGGAAGTGTGAAACAATTAAATATACTCAATTCAAAACTTAGTTAAAATTTTCAGACATAAAATTTACTCAAACCAAAATAAAAGTCTATTGATATCTATTCGTGCAAGAAGCCTTTTTTGTTAACAGGGATATGTCCATTGTAATTAGGAGAGTCTTAAAAATTTTTATTAAACGTTCATTGTTGTAGGCCAGATCTTTTATTATTGAGGATGTATTGGTCTATGTATTCATAAGAAGCATGCAGAGCACTAGTTGAAATGTTTTTAGTAAGGTTATTACTTATTAGTCCAAATAGTTTCTTTGAGCCTCTTGCAAGCCATTTACTAAGTAGTTTCCTAAGCTGAGTCCAATACACATAACACAATCAGTATCAAATTGACACAATAATACTATAAAAATAATAATAGAGGTTCCTCTTTTCCAGACTTGAAGATTATGATAATTACATTTCCACTTAGAGTTTTTTCTCCAGCTGTGATTAGGGTTTTTGATTTCTTCCTTCCACTTCCCTTAAGTTGCTACTATACTAAACTGCTCCTCTGATCCTAGCTACTGTTTGTGAGTTACAGTAACAGTTTTATAGCAGTCACCGTACCAACCCCTGTTTCTGATTATTACAGCCATAGAACTTCAACATTATATCTCATACTCCAAATCAGATTCACGCCTAACATGATGAGAAGCTTTTTGTACCTTGACCCATCAGAGGCAATTCAGTTCTATACATTGTTGTTCCCCAACAAAGCATATCTAGAACCCTTCCGTAACCATATATATCATGTTATAAAGCACCATGACCCCAAAATCTAATAAACAATCACGGGGCTAATTTATTTTGGGTCATACAGATCATCAACTCAACCTATATGGATGAATATGCAGAACTGATTCTACAGCTTAAACAAAGTGAAAGTCCTTTGCAGCTCATTTCATTTCAAGAACAAAGTTTGGAGGATGCAAATATGCAACAATGGTACTAATTACAAAGAGGGAATAAGATTAATACTTAACCAGTATATACACAGCTGTTTTATGTTACATCTTCTCTGAAACACACTCCTAAAGCAGACAACAGAGAATGTAGTGTATGCTGAGAAACAATGTTAGTTAAATACAAAGTATAGAAGAACTCACCTCCATTAAAATGATCGTCGATGCTATATAGGGAGTTATCAAGCAGAAGGCGCAATACTTGATCTGCCCTTGAATGAAACCTCGATGATGTTCCCCTCATGGCATACCACAGTAAGGAACTGATTCCAGACTTTCTTGTCAATGATGGTTTCTTCACAACTTCAATCATTAAGTTTTGAATTCCTGGCAATTTGCAGTAACACATTCCATTATATACAAAGAATAGTGCAATGTGTGCTGAGAAATAAGAGAGGGGTGGAGGAAGATATAAACAGGCTTAAAAATGGAAGCATATGCCATCATCATATTAGTGGACATAAGCATAGAAGAGGAACATAAACAAACAGATAGGTCACGAGACCTCAAAACATTGAAAACACATCTGAGTAGGGAATGCAATCCACACCATTGACAGTGAATAAAACATTACCATCTCTAACAGAGACAAGACATCTTACTCTACCCTGTTACCACACTGGCTCTTGATCCAAAAAATTATTTAAAAGGGAATAGAATCCAGAGTCAAAACAAAAGCCCAATAATATTTTTTTTTACATCAATCTTCAACAAACCAAAGCCACAAAATCTGTGTCACTTAAATCCAGACAACCTAGCACAGTTATCATAACAAATTGAGGTGCAAATTTTACCAGGAAGAGTGAAATATTAAAAGGCCTACTAACACAGATATCATATTTTTAGACACTCTTCCTCTCATAACCTCTAACTACACACTACAAGAAAGAAGCATTGCAAGGTCTGCAAACTAAGGCTGCAGTGTTGCAATAATCTACACAGGAGAAAGATCAAACCATTGTTGCATACATAAAAGTACTTCCTACAGGAGTACCCATCCTTTTTTTTTCTTTTTTTACATTGAATTAATCAATTAAGCATTTAAGTATGTAGTTGAAGTCAGTTACATTGAAATTTGAAACACACACAAAATTTGTGAGAACATCACTTCTCAAGTCTGAGGCACATAAATTTGGCAGTTTATAGTCTGAACAAAAATAGATTCTAAGAATATAGAATACAGCAAGGTTATGTTCAAGACTCTAAACAGCCAAAGCAATTCATACATCAACACATAGGTCTAAAGAGTTGTGCAAGTTCCCACTTCATCTTCTTCAACATTGTCTCAGTACAACATTAAAACATTGTTGTATTCACCAGATTTTTCTTCCCACAACATCAAGCCTTCAGTTCAAACAATTTGAAAATTTTCACATTAAAATGTTGTCATGGCTGTTTCCTCTTGAAAGTCTAATGTAGTTTTATAAGCATTCTTATTCTCATATAAAGTAACATATTTTGAAAGAAAGTTGCCTCCCCAGAATAAGACAGTAATACCATTACAGATCAAAAGCATAGCAAGGAAAGCCAGCCAAAAAAAAAAGTAGTACAGCAAGAGCAATCTGCTACAATGCAACATCTATTACAGAAAAAAAGTATATTCACCAAGGTGCAAAACTGAAACCATTAGATTCATGCAAAAGTGCAAAACCAACCCATTAGATGCATGTTGAGTTTAGAACACCACATTCTATGGAATCATACACCACTTTCTACATGTGTCATCAGAAAGAACTATTACAGGAAGTGCAGTCTGCTATATACATCTATTCCAGAAAAACTATATTGACCTAAGTGCAAAACTGAAACACAAAATTACAGTCCTTACCTTTTTTAAGTTGCTTGACAGATGCATTCCTCAATAAGAATGATACTGACTCCGCCATGAATTCTTGCACATAGTCTTTGGGGAAGTATCTCAATTTGACAGTAACCCTAGAAGAGAAATCAACAATTGAACATTTGCACATTATGCAAGTAAAGCAAAGTAAAATCCATGAAACTGAGCTACACATAGCCATTAGCATGGAGAACAACCTCAACTACTAGGAAGTTATGCAAACATGTGCACACAAGACAAGTAACAATACCCTTGACGCATCATTTTTACCAGGGGATTCAGTCTCAGGGGAGACAATACAAGTACAGTTTATAGCTCAGCAGATGGCAACGAAAACAACAAAATTTTACATTGTTAGTTGATGAACTTCTAGAAAGCAGAATGATGATCTAGAAATGCGCTGACCAATTTCCTCATATAATTGTCCCTATAACTTCACAGATACATATTGCAAAAGAGAGTAAAAAATAAGTATTATAAATTTTAAAGGGAAGACTCTTTGAAGTCTTGATAGTACAATTTTTTTTGAAAAGATGAACAGAAATCTCAAGAAAGCCAGAAGAAGCTTATGCATTTAAAGAGGACACAGCAAACTATAGCTTACCTTAGAACATAAACTACGTCTTTGGTAAGGTATTTCTGTAGGTACATCATAATGTATGACCATGATGTAAAAATCTGCAAAATTAAGATCAAGGTGGATAATGTCAGTTTGAGTGAGAAACTTTAGAACGAATTGGTATTTCTCAACAAAAGGATCCCATGACCTGCTCAATTATTTCTGGTTCTCTATCAGCACCATTTTTTAGAAGAACCACCAAAGAATCAGCAACTCTCGGAAGAAAGCTGGCAACAACAGTAAATGAGAAAATGTTAAATAAAAAAACAAGGATACTATTAGGTGTCTAATGTGGCAATATTTGTTCAAACAAAAGAATATTATAAACTTAAATGCTAGAAATAAGGATTTATAGCTAAAGTCATCTGGTTAATAGCTGCCTGGAAGTTCATATTACCAACAGATATAATCCAAAACAAAAAAGAAAGGAGAACAAGAGAAATCAAGGAGCCAAAGAAAGCAATAAGTTGACTGATAGCAGTGGTATCCATTACTACGAAGTACAATAACCAATAAAAATAAGATGGGAGAAAAATAATGAGTCAACCTTAAGGGAATGCCACAAGATAAGAATCTCCTAATTCCTAAAAGTGCATAAGCAACTGAAAGGCAAAATTAAAGGCATACCCAATTCTCAAATCCTCTTAAGGTCATTAATAACCGTGTAGAAGTGTTTTGTGAAATGCAGTCTATGCATCATTGTCTATTTTTTTGTGCTGTGATGCTTGGATATTTAAAGGAAGGAGCTGATGCATATTCCTTGTGATAGTGTAGTTATTTGGCCAAGCAGCTCATCATACAATTCTCATTTCTCAAGTTCAAAATAATTTGTGGATTTAATAGAGTTATAAGTTGTTTTCTTTGCATTTAGTTTCTGATCAAGTCCTCAGCGATTTATTATTCATGATTTATTTCTTTCATAATTGACAGAATGTTCCTCTAGCAACAAATAAAAATGACCAAGATATAAAATTCGAGTTAGATTTTAAACTTACGGTAAAAAGTCATCCACCAGATCTCTAGATAATGCTGTAATCAACCTGCAGGAAATATATAATATAATTAATAAATGGAAAGATGAAATTTCAAACTTGCTATTACACCCAAAAAGAAATATAAAGCTCCCAACGAATTTTCCACAATGCATACCTTAAAATGGGCTCAAGAGATAGTCTTCCCTTCATGTTCAATCTAGATAGAAGTTCTGAGAGTATCAATTCCTTCTGAAGTACAATTTGAGGTAGAGTTTGTACCAAGGGCAACATTTGTTCATAAAACGAGATAAAATCCTCAGCTGTATTTAATTCCTGTTAATTTGTCAAGGGAGAATGGTGAAAGTTTCACAAAAAGAGCAGCATAATATACGTGAATGACAGCAATATAAAACTCTATGCGCTGACCAATTTCCTCATCAAATTTTATGAAATTATTAATCAGAAACTCTAACAAGAAGACCTAAGCGTCAAAGGATGCCCTAGAATTTTAAATTTTAAATGTAGAGTTGCAATACTTAGTACATATAAAAGCTCACATACTCTGTATTGCACAAGACAGTCACGAAAAAATGAGGACCCTTCTGAAGGCTCAGTTTTTAGAGGATCAAGACTCCGGTATACATCAATATCAATGTCCTGAATTCGCTGCGAAAAATTCTTGAACTGCAATGTAAAACGATTCAAGCAAATTAGCTTCAGCCCCAACTTAAACAATTGAACACACAGTATACACACTAAAATCCTTACAACAAAGCGGCGGCGGCCGGAGCTCTTGTTGAGAGACTTAACGGCCATAGCATCGGAAGTTGTCGCCATGGTGAGAAGAGAAGGTCTGTTATTTCTTTTTTTGGAAATAACAGAACACGGCAGCAGCTAATTGTTCAGCAACAATGCGCTGAGAACTGAGCAGGTCTGTTAAGATAGAGACAATAGGGTTTTAGTTTCCTTGTATCTAAAACCCTATTCGAACTTTCATTACATATTTAATTTTAATTGTTGAGAAATTTATATATACTAGTACTAGTATTGCCCCGTGCCACTGTATAAAATTTAAGTAACCTTTTTTACTTTGTTTATGCGGCAACTTTTACCGAAGGTTACCCGGAGGTTAACTGGCTGAAAGGTTGGAATGTCGTAGTTGATGTGTTTAATTGCACGTTTTAAAAATTTAGGAATTTAATTGTTGCATAATATTTATGGACTTATTTGACCATTTTTTCTATGATTTTTTAGATAAAAATACATCTACCATTAACGTGCACATGTATCCATCATATATTTTTTTACATTCTTTATTCTTTAATAATAATAATTATTATTATTGTAGATATTATATATTGGATTAATATAATAAATAAATTTGATTTCATATAGATTTTAATTAGTAAGAATTTGTTAGTTATTTTGTAAAAATATAAATATTGGGCATATGTTTTTGCGCATTGTGCATAAAAAAAAAAAAAAAATTAAAAAAAAAAAAGTGTGTGTGTGTGTGTATGATCGGGTGCGGTAATAGCTTCTAGGTGAAAGAATAAATTTAATCTTAGCCCTTTATCTAGCCAAAATCAATAACCAAGATTGAAGAAAAACTTTTTAAAAATGTGGTGGCATTATGGTAATTTTGCATAAGAGTTAATTTCAATTTTGGTCTTATGACTATTAGGATCTTGTTAATTGCAGTCTATGAGTTTCAAAACTGTCAATTTAGTACTTTAACTATTCAATTTTTACCAATTTCAGTCAATCTAGCCAAATTACCGAAAAAAAAATATTTAAAAGACAAACTTACCCTCAATTTTTTAAAATGCTAAAGATTTTTCTTTTTCACATGTTGTCGTTGGCAACGATTTCTCCGGTGAATGGCGTCATTATGTTTCCTGCTTTTCATTGCTTCTTCTTTCTCATATGGACACCAATGTATTTCAATGCTTATATCTGGTTAGTAGTGCTAATTCTATGAACACTGTTGTATTTCAAAGCTAATTATAAAGACATGGTTTTATATTATAACAATACGCACTTCAGTCAAACTATATGCAAACGAGCATGGGATTTCAATACCACATCTAATTTGTCTAGTATCTCCATTAAACATTGCTTACTTGTCAACGGTGGATATTAACAGGGCAGAATAGTGCTTTAAACGGAGCATGGAAGTGAAAACTCTCGACGCAGATGAAAAGCAGGAAAGGTAGTGATGCCATTCACCGAAAAAATTGTTGCCGACAACGACAGGTGGAAAAAATGAATAAAATATGTAGCATTTTAAAAATTTGAGGAGCTCATCCAAAGGGGTTACTTGGAATAGTTCGTGAAGAGACCGAGACAGGGTCAGGGCCATAGCAATGTGTGGAAGACCACCTCGGCACCACACAAGAGAGAGCTCGACCAACTCACCGAGGAGGAGGAGAGGGAGCTAGATAACCCCCAACCCCAGAAGAAACAAGTCATCCACGTCATCTTCGGGGGCCAAAGGGGGGGAGGGGGGGGGGGGGGAACACGCCAGCGGAGAGGAAACCTATCACCTTCACCGACACCGACCTGCCAGATGGTTCCCTCCCCCACCGAGACGCCCTGGTGATCAAAATTGAGATCAGTGACATGATCGTACACCGGGTGCTAGTAGACACGGGTAGCTCGGTAAATGTCATGTACTACGATATCACCCTATCCGGGAAGTAATTGGGGCAGGTAAGGACCCCCTATCCGGGTTCACGGGGGACTCCATCGAGACGGAAGGGTCCATCAACCTTGAAGTGGAGATAGGCACCCCACACCATGTCAAGAGGTGGGAGGTGGAGTTCGTGGTGGTCAAATCAATTGCGCCCATAACATAATCCTAGGCGGACCCGCCCTGGAAGACCTCAGGTGTGTGATCTCCATAGAGCACCTGTGCCTCAAGTTCCCAACACCAACGGGGGTCGGGGTCGCCCAGGGGACCAGAAGGTGAGTCATAGATGCTACCTACGGGCGTGCCATCAGATAGGTAAGAGAGGCATGCATGTCCACACAATAGCTGAAAAGGCGCTACATGAGGAGGAAGGGCGACCACAGGCCGAGCCCTTGGTGGAAACCGAGGAAGTTGTCCTAGACCTTATCCGGCCCGACTGGGTCGTGAAGGTGGGGGTCGGCTTCCCGGCCAAGTTACTTGCTCGGATCATTGACACCATCTGGAGCTTCAAGGAAATATTCGTGTGGGGTCCCGAGGACATGTCGGGCCTCAGCCGAGACGTCATCACCTATAAACTAGTCGTGGACCCCTCGGTCAAACAGGTATAGCAGCGCAAGAGGTACATGTAACACCCCACTTTTTCTAAAACTTAATTACAATATTAAATCATAATTAACATAACTAAGCATCGGATAAACAACTTAAATAAGATAACTAGTGGGAATTTCTCCGTCACAACCACCACTCCGTGGTAATTGCACAGGCTAAGGGTAAAACTAGAAACAAAGATTTAAATACTAACATCCATACATAAAATTGAAAGTCATAAGGGGGAAAAAGACACCCCAAAGTCTACATCATCAAACGTCATCCATATCATAAATCTAAAATCCAGATAATAAAGTCATAATAAAAAACATAAAGAGAGTTTAGACTTCTATAACTACTAGACTAGTCTAACTCGTCACTTCTCAACGATGTGCCCACCTGAAAGGGGTTTTACAAGCAACACATAGACAAAAAGGAAAACACCCGTTAGCACGAGGCTAAGTATAACCACACTCAACCCTGTAAAGTACTATAGAATATACTTTGGAAAACATTTGATAACATTCATAAACAACAATCTCATCTCATAGGCAACTATATTCACGCCACATACTTTCTATATACTTGCAACCTATAATATCAACAGGCATGCTTCAAAACAAAAGACTTAACAACATAGATATTTCAACATGTGAACATCACAACAAACTTATCAAAGCAACTCATGCTTACAAATAATTTCATGCTAATAAACCTTATGAAAGTTATCTTCATGCTCTCAAGTTCTCATCATGTAAACTGGATATACAAGAACTCAAAATGTAACAAAACAATCATGCTCGAAATACAATCCTGAATCATCCTTCTCATTATGCAATCTCATGCAATACTCTACTCAAATGCAAACTCGTGCAATACTATACTCATATGCAATCTCGTGCAATACTATAAGTATACTCATACACTAGTTGTAAAATAGAATACTTTCTGTGGAGGTCTCATTGAGTCATAAATTGGATATACAAGAACTCAAAATGTAACAAAACAATCATGCTCGAAATACAATCCTGAATCATCCTTCTCATTATGCAATCTCATGCAATACTCTACTCAAATGCAATCTCGTGCAATACTATACTCATATGCAATCTCGTGCAATACTATAAGTATACTCATACACTCGTTGTAAAATAGAATACTTTCTGTGGAGGTCTCATTGAGTCATAAATGACTTGCTTTCTTTCTTTCTTTTCTTAGAGTCGCAATGGCTCACTTCTTTCTTTCTTTGAGTCGCAATGGCTCACTTCTTTCTTTCTTTGAGTCGCAATGACTCACTTCTTTCTTTCTTAGAGTCACAATGACTCATTCTTTCTCTTTAAATGGACGAGGTAGGAACTTCACCAAAGCGTGAATGAACCTATCCGGGCACGGCGTCTAGCCGACCTAATACTCTGCTCGTCCATCGAACCACTCTCTTGGTTCTATGCTTAAACTCTGTGGAATCAGGTATCGAACTATTAGCGTGCACACCCCCTGACCAGGATTCCAAGCCTGACGAGCAGTTTCCAACCTCGTAACGTGGGAATACACCGCGTTACATATACTGAGACCGCAATGTCCATTAAATCATCCGAGAGGACATAGTCCAAACGGGGTCCTCCAAAACCTCACCGATATAGATAATACATAAATATATCTCTCATGCATCAATCTCATGCATGCGACAACTCAACAACTTCTCAATGCATCAAATAATGATATACCACATGCTTATGGATTTTTGAAAGTAATACTTGGGCTCACGTTGGCCCCTTATGCATTTTTGAAATATGATATATGTGAGATGTAAAATACTCTACAACATGCTCCAAGTCCATATATATAATCCATAAAATTCTCAAGGATACAATATCATACTCGGTTTTCAACATAGCAAATTCTATATATTTCTATCAACAAAATATGCTTCAAATCTCATTGATCAAATATCACATTCTAGTCATGCTTTCATAATAAATCATATTTTCAAAGTGATCATGCTTCTCTATTCAAAACAAATATAACATCAGACAACAAGGCAAACATTTCTCTTTCACAGTGAACTTCAAATACACATACTGTGTAGCAAAACCATTACTAAATCCATCATAACATGCTCATTTTTAATCCAAAATCAACGAAGTCAAAGCCAAAACGTGCGTCGAGACGGCCCCGAGGTACCGAGCCACAAGGGCCCGTGATACCTGGCCCGAAAGGACACGTAGCTGAGCCACAAGGGCCCGGTCACTGCACAAAATCCTCTCAAAACAGTACTCAAGGGCCTGGGGGGACTCCTCATGAGCCGCCCCATGAAGGCCATTACATGACCAGGCCTAGGCAACGACCCTCTCCTAGGGCCGTGCCCTAGGCCCGGTTGGCCCCGGCTCTAGCCGGTGGTCCTCCTGATGGGTCGCGGCTAGGGCCGCTACTCTGGTCTGGTACACACTGTGTGTGCACCAGATAGGTGATTTCATCTGCAAAACTCATTCCAAGCATGTCCAAAACATCCAAAACATTATCAACATTTCAAGGACAAATACTAGATCACTTCCAAGCTCAAACACAACAAAATTTCACCATTTCTACTCATTTCTACTCAATATAATAGGCTTCACAGAGCCAAAATCAAAGAGGGAGTCCATGAGGT